ATAATTGCATACCTTTTGCAAGGATATGGAGTCAAGGAGTACTTCGAGATATTTTTCATTTGATGCTCAGTGGAGGTAGTTTGGTTGTAGAGATTTTACTGTGTGGAAATATAGGTAAGACTAAATAACCACACCAAAAGGAGATTGGTTTTCCACTTCTAATGGGTCCCTTTATAGAGATCTCCCGAACACATGGTAGCTTAGGACCATTTTTCTGAGACTCCAAGAATAATTTGGAACATGAAGGTGAATCATCAAAGAAACTCATGAGAAAACCTCTGATTCTGTAAAACTGGAAGACAACATACTAATCAAAATCAAATATATTCATCAAAATAGATGCTTGTTTGACTGTAAAATTTTAGTTATGCTGATACAAGAATGTGTAGAGACAGGATATATTAAGAAATATTTAACATATGTAAAACATTAAAGATACACTTAAGCTCAAAATAGGAATGAAAATTAAGGTAACAGCTTTCTCTTATCAGTTGACTCATATACATAGATCTTTATTACAGCAAAAATTAGGGGAATATAATAGAGACAAGAGGAAGGCTGAGTCAGGTTTTAAATTCTGCTTTGGAGCAGAGAGGTGAAGAAAAAAATGCTTTCTTAAAATTTCATATGTGCTAAGGAAATACATTGGAAAATATTTAAAAAGAAAAAGTAAAAATCCCCCCCCCTTTTTTTTTTTAATTTAAGCTCAACTGGAAAAGTTCAGGTAATTTTCCAAGTACTAGTAATATTTACAGCTTATAGCCCAGAGAGGAAAGGGACAGATTAACATTTCCAACTCTGAAGCACAAAGTAAAGCAAAGGAAACTTGAATCAGTATCAATTTTGAATACTTTGAGAGAAGATTGTTAAGTGGAAACAATTGGTTGTGTTAGCAAGAGTTGGGCAGATAATTTACTTTTGTAATGAATAGACAACATTCTTTTTATTGCAGATAAACTCCAGGTTTTTAAATAATAATGCTGTTTCATTGGCATTTTAATGCTGGCATCAAAACATCAAATGTGTTGTGACTACTGAATGCTACAGGAAAAATTATCTATTTGTGCACAGGTAACTAACACACAAAATGTGCTTAAAAGTAAGTGTGCTTAAAAGCTTAATTTAAAATTGTAACACTTTTTAAAAAAATCTACAATCTAAAATAGATATTTTTTACATATTAGAAAGCCTTTTAGCTCTTCCACCAATGCGTAGCTGCTGATTGCCGTCAGACACCATTGATGCAACTCCCATCAGGAAACCTCTTAATGCACATTGGATTTGTATGTAAAGTGGAGGAATACTATTAAGTTATGTAAAATATCCTATTGATTTACTAAGGTCATACATCTGTGCTTAAAATGTCAGAGTAGACCCAATGAAACTATCCCTGATTTCTAATACTAAGTATGTAATAAGTTCTCTTTGGGAAGGCTTATTTAGCCACACATTATCTGTCAAACTTCTATAACGAAACATTGCACTGGCTATATGTGGCCAAAATGACCTCTCACTGCTTTGCACAGCCTTCTAAAACGTGGTTTGCACTTATGACCATATAAATACACTTAGCTCTTCTGAGGATCCTGATATTACACATCCCAGTCTTCTTGTCAGCTCTGCTACAATACTGTCATTGTCAGAAGGCAACATGTGTGTTAAGTAGATTAGAAAAATAACAAAACCAAGGTTTCATGATAGCTGTGGCTCTTAGAACACACATGGCAAGGTGCTTGGGCAGTTCTGTGTAGATATGCATTGTGCACGGAATAAGGCTGTGACAGCTCATGGTAGAACAACCCTGAGACTTCTGTGAAATCCTGAGAATCACTGGCTCTATTTGAATGGATATAAATGCTTATACGTTGTGCCTTAAAAACCTGTATTGAGCCCTTTCCTAGATCTTACACCAAATGTTAATTCTAATAATCTATAAATTATGAAAATAAAATGGAGGGGGAATCTTGTCTTAGCTGTAAGAACAGACTCTTAGAGAAACTAGTGGAAGACCTTTTAGCTGAGAAACTATATCAGAACAAAGCATGAACAAATACTTCTCATACCCCTGATTTTAATTTATTAATGTTCTCCATTTTGGCAGAAGGCGTCAATGTGTTAATTTCAGAGATGTAATTTTCAGATATGTGTTATGCTTGGTTTGCAGTGTGTGTTGCCATCTCAATTTTGGGATTTCTGCTTCCCATGTTCATTTTCCCACCAAGAGTGGCAGATGCTGGGTAAGTGACAGCACATTCCCACTGTCAGTGCTGAATTTCCAGGCATGCCTGGATTGCTTATGATCCCTGTGCCTTACAGGATCAGAGGCTGCAGAGTTTCAGTGGGCTGTTGAGCTCCAGAGGTTTCTCTCAAGTACTGTACCAGAATTTATGTATTTATTTAAGTCTTGGGCAAGCGATAAGTGTCTTTTTAACATTCCATTCTTTTCTTAAGGTTTTTATACTACTAGGAAAGAAAGTAGCTTTCATGGAGTCTCAGCTATTTCCACAGGCAAGTATACAGCATGGTTACTTGATATTTAATATGATTGTGTGATGTGAGCCTGACTTTTAGAGACTTGGGAACAAGCCATAGTCTAAACTGGTACTAAGTGCAGACTGTTCTCTTCCTGAGCCCTTGTATATAGCTCTGCATGCCTCTGTTGGATGGCAGATACCTGCAAGCTGGGCTCAGTAGTGTGAAGATTGTACAATGTATTCAACACATTTGACTGCTACTCCACATATCTGTGGTGATGATGTGAGCTTGATATCCAGCATCTGCTTTGTATCACTCACTGCCTCTCAGAACATGGCCTTCCTCCTCTCCAAGAGTAAGGTATCCAAAGAAACATAGTATTATGGTTAGATGTAGCCAGGGTTTATGTTAATGTTTTGCTTAAGACAACATCAAAAGGCTGCAGCGAGCCACATGTTCAATGAGCCTTGTTAGCTTTTTATTTCCACTCATTGCATGTGGCCAGTTTGTCAGGTAGCTGCCATTTGCAGGCATCATTTCATGGTGCATTGCCTCTGCAGAACCAGTCATACGTGAAGAAGCCAAGGCTTTGCTCCTGCAGGTGGCAGAAACGTGGAGTTCTTTTTGCTGTTCACTGTTAGCTGTTACCTCTTCTCTAGGTATTGCTTTGTCTTCTGGATTTTATTAGAGCTATATCCACCTGTCTACTACTAAACTCTCCATTAGCAATTTCATCAAAGACTTTGCAAGTGATCCAACAGACATTTTAAAGAGTTTTTTCATTGTTTCCAAAGAAGAGTTTACTTGTAGGATGAAATGGTTGTTACTGCCAGTGTATGTTGGGAGGGGATGACAGCTGAATTCCCTGCTTCACAGCACTGCTAGAAAGGAAACTTCATCAATATTTAGGAATGGGTGAGATGTTAATAGTCATGGAAATTGTGCACACACCTGGAGAATATAAAAAGCACAGCTGAAATAATTGTCATCTTAGAACACTGAGGTGATGAAAAGCAATAGTAAGCAAAAAAAGAAAGGATGGGAAACCATTTGGTGACTTGTAAGAGTTTCATTTACAATGAAAATATTTATAAAAATCATGTGGTGTCAATAGGTGGGCTGTAAGGATGTTTTGGAAGATCAAGCTCATCCTTTGAAGGCAGCTAATCAAATACTCTGCAAAAAGAAGAAATATTCACACAGTCAGAAAGAGTAACTTAGAGAAAGGAGTTTAATTACAGGATATTTACTAAATATCAGATCAAATGGACAAAAAAAATATGCAGTCCGTGAAGTACTCTTGCATGCTATTTTTATCCCTGGAACATTGAAAACAAGGTTCTAAAACATAGTTACTGCAGATCCTGCTTTGTTGACAAGGGATGACTTAAGGTATATCATCTTTCTCTGCTTCTGAAAAGACTCCCATGTAATGAAAGCAAGATGGAGGACTCAGAAGTTTCTGTTAATTTAGGCCAAGTTCTGTGATTCCTCATTGAAATGTGGATTTTAATCTTTCAACCCTCTCCTGGAATTGCTTCTGTTGGATCCAAGCTCTGTGAGTTAAAAAAATGGAAGTAGTGAAATAGTTGAAAAAATAAACTTTCTCTTGAATTAGCTGATGAAGTAAAAAGCCCACAGTAATTGTATAACTGTAAAAAAATGAACATTTATTATTCCAATTTGCATCTTAAGAGAATTATCTAAGATTTTTTTTTTTAATTGGAAGAGTACTGTAAAATGTACTACATGATTTTTAAAGAACCAGTGCAAAAATAGACAAATATGAAACAGTAAAGATTTGTAAATACATTAGCATTGCTATTATTTTAAATTTACTTGATATACATCTCTTTTTTTTATCCCAGGGCCTCCAACATGCCTAAAGAGTAACACCAATTTATAGTCACTTGCAGATTAGAGGACAGGAACAGACTGGAGCAAAACCTCCTGCACAGCACTGACACCATGATATCTCCTGTAAACCTGCTGTAAAAATGTCAGTCTATTTTTAATATGACCAGTCAGAACCTTAATCTGGAAGTTATTTTGCATTATGAGAGTTTTACCTCAGCATTCTGGCAATGTTATTGTTGTCAGTGAGGGCACAGTACTGCTCTCAGGCCACAACATCAGGCAAGTGATGTCTGAGACTGTATCCCGCAGGGCTCTGTCTCCTACATTCTAATATTGAAACTGTGTTAGGTTAAAGACCAAGCAATGACCTCTGTGCGGTTTTAAAAATCCAAGAAGTTTATAGTTGTATTTGATTTGGTATTTCCTCTGCCCCCAATCCCATTACATATAGAGGGTCCCCCAGTGCAGTTTTGGTTTTGACAGCAAATTTCAGCTATAGTGCTTGCCTGCCTCTTGTCTCCACACGGTGAGATCACAAGAGATTTTACCAGAAAACCTTGTATCCACTGTATCATTAAACTTCAATTTTTTTTGTTTTCTCAAACAAAGATGGTGATAATTGTCCTGGGCAAATCTATTTTCAAGTGTGAGGTTTAAGGTAATTAAGCAATGGGGATCCTTAATGAAACCAGCTGACTGCAGAGTTCACTGGAGGACTGATACTTCAGAAGAAGGTAGGTTGAGAAATTGGAAAACGTGGTCAAAAAATTTTTTTCCCGTGATTTACAGGAAAAGACTTTTGTCCTGACAAATGGATTCTGAATGTGTTACTGGACACTGTGATAGATCAATCTCTTGGGAAAGAAACATTTGAGCAACTGACTTATTGTCTTGATCAGGACTGGTGCTGATGGCCTCCGGTAAAAGTGTATTTGTAAAAGGGTCATAGATAGTACCTGTAGCTGTCAGGTCTAACACCACCAGCAAGTCACAGACAGTCAATTCAGTGATTTGTTTTACAGCAGTACTGCACTTTTAAGGTGAACTCCTGACTGCGCTAATTCATTTCATATTAGTTAGGCTCTGAGCACTCTTCTATCACATATAATTTAGTCTTTAGAGTAAAACTCAAGCTCAAATCTAAATATGATTTAAATTGACATTAGATGTTTGACTACTGCATGTGCCACATTCTGACAAACCCTTTCAGCTTACACCTAACACAGACATATCAGTAGCAAGATTTTGAAACATGCAGAGCACTTTCAATACCCTGACATGGTTCCCTTGCTACAAAGGGCCAAGTGCCCTGTGTACCTTTGCACTTACTGTTGATCCTCAGTCCCTAATTCATCCTTGCAACTCTCAGCTTCTCTTTCATCATTCATCAAGACTTCTTCTGGTTCAAAATCTTCTCCAGTCCTTTGACTTCCATCTCCCTGTTTTAATTTCTACTTTTTCTTATCCTTTTTTAAATTGTCCTTTCTCTCATTTTACATTATTTTACCATGGTGAGAGCTAAATCTTTTGTCTCCTGCTGCATTTCAAGAAGAGAAATTGGAGGTCCTGAGGTGACTGATCAGTCATCTGTGTGGTGAAAGAACCAGAAGCTGCTTGGAGCAGACTACAGAACAATTCACCTTGGGCACAGCATTGCAGTACCCCGTATAAAGAGCTTGAAGTGACTTTCAGATGGGAACGCTCTGGCAAGATGGGCTTTCAGATCCTGGGATAACAGCAAGGGAGACTCCAAAGGCGTATGGACCTTCCAGAGCTGATCCAGGGTGCTTGTCCCTGGGACCTTCAGATAAATCTAATAAGGACATGCTGACAGACCACTTTATTGTTTTCCCTACTACATCCAGGTAAAGATATTGATTTTTCTATGCGTATCTCTCAGGGAAGAATGGCTTCTGGTGACGTTAAAACACTAGGTGCAGTGGTGTGAAAAAGTGACACCTATCTCTAGTTTGACAGCATGAGTTGCTATGCTTTTGAAATCAATTCCTTCAGGACCTTGAGCTGTGACAGAAATCTTCCCGTAGCAGCTCCCTGTTCAACTTTCACTGTGTGGGATACCCAGTTCTGGTGCCCAAGGGAGCCGAATGTGGAGAACAACAAGTTGACAGTTCTCTATTTCTTATGGTCCTAGTCGAGATACTGTTTGGTGCTCTAATGGAAAAAGGCATGAGAACACCTTGGATTCTTGCATATTTTTGTGTGGAGAAGGAATAATTCCTGGAACTGTAGAGGTCCAGCTGTGAGGACACTCTGGAGTAAGGTGACCGATGGCATATTATTAGGCTGGAACAGCACTGCCACTTCCTGAGTAGTGTTTCAAACAAAAGCTGAAGGCTGTATGATGAAAATGAGAACATTTCAACTCTCCTTTGTCCTGTCACTTCTTCCTTAAGAAAACAGCTGCAGGCTCCCATCCCTACCCTGGCCACCCTAGCAGCATAGAGCAGCCAGAGGTGGCAACTTTTCAGTAATCAAGAGCCACGGAGCTGGTGGCAAAGCCTAAGAAGGGAGGAAAAAACCCTACTCTTCAGATTTTGGAAGAAGAAATAAAACCCACCAGCTCTAACACATGAAAGGTGATGCTGTCCTAAAGATCATACTATATCTCAGCAGCCTGCACTCAGTTTCCTAAACCAAGAGGTTCTTTGTGTGGTAGACCACAAGAAAAGCCACTTGAGTACTAGAAAAAAAATACTTTGCAGCTATATTTCTTCAATGTTTTCCACTAGCATAAGTGTATATTCATTCCAGATGATCTCCCTTCAGGATTAAATCTAATATTCCCCTCTATGATGTCTTGTAGTACACATTGTCATGCAGACAGCTCACTCATCATAGTGTCACTTGGAAGCAGTGTGAAGAATGCTGATCTGTATAAATTCTCGGTACCAAGTTTCTGTCCCTTGAACCAGTCCTATTGCACTGAACCACCTGCTACTGCAGACAGCAGCATTCAGATCTAATGCAGTTTGAGTGCCCAGAACAAGCAAAAAAAATCACCTGTTGCTGGTGATTGTACAGCAGCAGGAACTCTTGCTATGAATGTCAAACAATGGTTCTGAAGCATGTAAATCCATCTTCACTGTTCTTCAGTGCTGAGAGAGTATTGAGGGGGGGAAACAGTTTTGGTTTGGTTTTTTGGTTTGTTTTTTTTTAATTTGTTTTGGGGTTTTTTTGTTTGTTTGTTTTGTTTTGTTTTTAATTGTAGGCAATGTTTCCTAGATTTATGTGGGACTTGAATTTTAACAACCCAGTTCCAGGCAAGTGAGCTGGGGTGGGTGGAGCTGGAATTCCAGTACTTCCTGGTTTTAACTTCTCCTATGTGTGCTGCGCAGTTCAGTAGTTACCTGAAAAGGAGAGGCAGGACCTGGTACATTCTCACTGTTTGAGGTACCATGATCTGAAAGAGGGACATATGTGACCAGAACATACAAAGGAATGTTCAGCAGTGTGAACCTTCAAGTAGCAGTTATTCAAAATGGAGGTATCTTTTTATAATGAAACAAAGCACTGCTATTTATAACTCTGCTGATAAATGACTTTTGAAAAAGGATTATAAAGCCTCATGGTTCTCTAATGCTTAAAATTCAACTCCTCTGCTGAATTTTTCTTTTCTGGATAAACCCTCCCCAGTATCAGAGGTCTAAAGTAATTTGCTAGTAGAAAGGTGGCTGTATAACAGCTTTTACTTGTTCTAATTTTAGCTTTCTGAAATTTGTGTCCATTTAAATCAACTTTTCCAAAGAATAGTACCAATATGACTTTTATGTTTTAGTGTGGTTAGCATGATTATATCCATTTAATTAGTCCCCTATTAACTGAATGACTCTTGCTGATCTGTTTGCATCGTTGCTGGCTGACTGCTTTTTATAAGACTAAACAGAGGCTTTTCAATTTTAAAAGGTGGTCCTAAGAACCCAGTTACACTGTTTCAACTGTCTCTTTGAACAGTCTGTGTGGTTTTGATTTCATAAGTTTAATACATACATCTATATTTATGTAGAAACATTGAAAAAATTAAAGGGAAATAGTCTTAATACAGTTAAATTGTAAATGTAAGTTAAACACAGAAATGAGTGACATGGGGCAAAAGTGCCGCTGTACTTTATTAGCGGTACAGTTTGTAGTTGCCTTGAGACTTAGATGTACATTACAATCTGTATCTTAATTTTACTTCTTTACAGGGAGAAAGAGTAGCCTGTCTCACATCTATATTTGGTGCAGAGTGCATACTCCACTGTGCTAACACACCACATCAGGAAGGAATTTCAAATGCTCCCAAGGAATTTAGCAACAAAAGTCCTGTTGGCTTTCCTTACATGCATGGGCAAGGGAGCATACTAATCTTTCGTAATAAACTGTTCTCTTTCTGCTGCTGCTGCTGCTGGAGCCTGAAAAACGGACTAATGAACTCTCTAATGTCTCTTCGCCCTCCTGACAGAGTTGAATACACTGGGCCACCGTCTTCTCTTTTGACAAGCTGACTGATGTGTGTGCCACCTGAGAGCTGTTAAAACAGCTTCACTTTTGCATTCATCAGAGTAGAGCTCCATAGGCATTTGTTTTGGACAACACCCAGTGAGGCACAAATGTTGAGCTTTGCCGGGGGTGATGATGGGGTAAGTCTGTTCTCAGCTGATTCTGAGAAAACCTAAGTGGAGAGCCTCCATAGACTTAAGAGCATATGCTTGTGTCTTCACTTGGGATCTGAGAGAGAATGAGATGTGATCACTTCACACCTGTGTAATGTTTTCTGTTTTGTTTAATTTCTTCACCCCATTCAGTTCAACTCTTCACTATTTTTATTTTGCCATCATATTTACATTTGAATAGTCATCAAGTCACTTCTAACAGTCTTTTCGGTAGCTGTCACTTTAAGGAAAAGTGTAAATTCCTCTTTATCTTATATGTAAGCCAGGTGAAGAACAGAAAGACAATTTTTTAAGTAACAGATGCTAGAAAGAATGGTCGTTCTTTATATAACATTTAGAAGCTGGAGTTCTAAATTTAAAGCTTATATGAGCTTTCTTAAAATTAGAGTTGAGGCTGACGCAATATAACATTTGGTTGGTAAACCCTAGTTAAATTTGGTGGATCTTTTTCTATCGTTTGATAAATAGTAAAGATTTAGGTACTATTTTGACAAGTGCTAGGTACAAATACCATACATACTTGGTGGAAATCCTCTAAGATCCAAAAAGAGGGATATGGGAAAGAGAATGCTTTGGGATGAAAGAGTGGGACCTGAAATGTTTCAGTTGTCATTGCTTCCCAGGTTGGTTTACTGTGTGCATTTTTTTAAATGTCGTTGTCCTTTTAAGCAAACAAATAGTGATTTTGCTCTTACCATTGCACTGAATTTGCAATATTAAGCTGTTTGCCAGTTTCTTGATCTCAGATACACTGCTAATTTTACAGTTAGCAGTGTTGTTTCATTTTTCTTCCACGAAGACATATTCAGTATGACAGGGATAAACCAGGATAACTTTTGGTATTTTCTTAGCTTTGTATGATGATGCTTTTTGGGTAGCTTTTTCTCTTCCTGCTGTTTCTTAGTGTGATATAAAAGTGTGTTCAGGATTGGTGATGAAGGAGCAAGAGTACAAGGGTTTTTATTAGAAGATGCACAAGTAAAATGGGAAGATACAAGCTGCAATTCTTCACTGTATTTCTGTGTTTAGAATGAAATTAATCTGGAACTATCAAACAATAATATGGAACATGGTTTGGTTTTGCCATTTTTTCTAGGGGAAAGCAGGGTGTCTTTTACCCCCGGGCACTTTTTCACAGCTGTTCCCTAACCCTTTACTGGGACTTTTGAGCCTTCTCTTTCCATGGTGGCAAGGAGAGCACAACCCCTTTCGGAGCCAGCAGGGTCCTGGGCTACTTTTGCGCCACCTTTTCTTAAGCTCCTGTGCTCTTAGCTAACAGGGAAATGCTTTCTGCCTGTGCTGAAGCTGTTACCTACCTAAAGTTAATCTCATTTACCCTGGCTGACCCTTTCCCTCCCTCTTGCAGCCAATAACCCCCCACTTTTGGGAGCAGGGATTGCTTCTTCCCCACTTGCTGCACCTGTCCTATCTCAGCAACTTGGGCAGCAGAGACAGGTGCACTGCCAGATGGGGAGCCAGTCCTGTCTGGGCACCCTTCACCCCTGGGTGTCCAGGACTTTGGGAGGACAGACTTTCCTCAGTTCAGCCAGTCTCCCAGTCTCAGGGCCCTGCTGGGCTGTGGAGCAGCTCATGCTGGTCCTTGCCCTGCCTCTGGGTGTGGGAAGTTAGTTTGTGCCCAGTTTGTCCTGAGTCTCTGGCCCTCACTAAAAAAGGAATGTCTGCAAGGGCTGCAGTTTCCTTCTGTTTTCTGTCAGCCTTCTCTCTAGGGCAGTTATCTGCAAGGAGTCCTTCTTTCTAACTCAGTGTTGAGAAAGAGGCAGTGTTGCAAGTTAATGTTCCCCACAGGCCATTTATGTACTTTCTGACTTCGGAGAGAAGGCGTTTCTGTTTCCCGCATTTCTGCCCTGACTGCTGCTGGTATAGTTTTTATCATTCTTTGTTTGGGGTATAGGAAAACCTGGTTAGAATTTCAACCTGTTTGATAGCCTAGAAACTTATTCGACTAGTGTAGGGTACAGAGAAGCCTCTTCCAGGAGAAATACCTACCCCATGCTCAACCCTCACACTTGATGTGACCTCCATGTCTGCCTTATGAACTTGGGGGAACTCGCAAGACTTCTTGCTTTCATGCCCTCATTCCTGATGATACCTGAAAATGGTACCTACTCAAGAAGTAGGATGATAGGAACCAGTAAAAAGCAGCAAGCATAGACTTAGAGAGACTGACAGGGGTTCCAGGTGGGGCTCCCAGAGTAAAGCAGTGTTTGTATATTTTTTTCCAAGCTGTGTGTAACCCGTCAGTTTGTGGGATTCTTCCTTCCTCTGTCCTCCTTCACTTTTTCGCTATGCACCCTGTTCTCCCAAATGTGAGACAAGGAAGGAAGAGAAGATCTGCTACATTTACAAAGCAGTCAAAGTAAAGGACCTTGTGTCTTCGAGGCTTCAGGGAGTGAACTTTGTTTCTCCCAGAGCCATTTTGATAGTACACGTGCTGCTCCGAAGCTCTTAACAGAAAGCAACTTGTCTCCAAGAAAGACAGGCCCTTTTCCTATGCATAGCTATCTAAACTATGATTACCACACTTCCCTTGCTACACATGAGAAAAACACCTCATGTGTTTCTCATGAGGTGGATAAAGCACATTCCATGTTGACAATGAAGTGAATTTTCTCACATTTACCTCTCAAATCCTTTTTACATACACTTGTTTCAGCTAATACACTTACAGTCCCGAAACTGAATTTTTTTCTCTATTTTCCTGAGATTGTTTCCTTTGTTCAGTTTCATTGTTTCCTATGGACAGCTGGTGAACTCATTTCTTCTTGTCATTCTTACTCTCCTCTTTCACACAGCAGTAGCAAATGGAAGATATTTCTCCCTCCTGATGCAGATAGCCTGCCTGTTTCTGGGTGCTACCAGGATTGTTGGTTGTTTGGTTCAGACAGAGGAAAAAATGACAGATAGGTAAGTAAACAAGACTGAGAAAGGCATGCTTGTTAAATTTTGTTTCCCTAGGCACAGCTGAAATGTCTCATCATGCAGCACCAAAATTCTCAACTTTTTCTCCCACAGTTGGGCTCCAAGATCTGTTTTGATACCTTGATACCTCTTCTCTGCCTGCTACTGTGATATTTCCCCATCCCTATCTTGTATGCTTAGCATAAGCCAAATAAATACAATAACCATGCATTTGTTATCAGATGTTCTGAATCACTTGGCTCAGTTGCTGCCAAATTTGCTTACAGTCAACTTCTTGAGTGTGGCATTTTTCCCTTATTTCCAGATGTCAGCACTATGAAAAATGATACCTCATTTACTTGAGTGAAAAGCAGCTCTTGTGTCTGGCTGTCCTAATGAGATGATGGATTGGCCCAACTTGTGCCATGAAAAAGTGCACTTAGAATGTGCTTCTGAGAGAATGAAGACTCACGGACATAGTACCAAAATTGATTTCTAAATTCTTTTGTAAGAGTAGCAAGAAGTCTGGCTGGTTTTTCCTAATTGGTTTTTCCAACAGCCAAGTTCTGTTTGTCCTCAGTCCTGCCTGCAGGGTGAAAAATTTGAAGTTGCTTGTCTTTTGGAATGTTTTTTTGAAAGCTTGAGTATTTAGCAGGTTTTGTACAATGGATCTGTCTTCCATTCAAACCAAAATAGGGCTCTCTTACGTTTCAGTTTTGAAGTTTTCTTTAGGACTTCCATCTCTCAGTTTTTGTGTTGGGATTAAGTACCAAACATTTCATTCTGCCACACCTATTACATGAATACACACACGACTCTCAAGAAAATCCATGTAGTGTTTCACTGGCAGGGTATCTGGGCATTTCACAGGTGTTGCAAAGAGCTTCAGAAAACTATGTGATATTTGTTCCTTTGCTGGCAGCTTGAGGGTTCATGGTTCTGTTTTGGCACAAGGGATGGGTTTTGCTTTTCCAAGCCCATTTTATTCAGCACAAACCACTGGAAAGTGCTTCTGTATATCCTGTTTGAAAGTCGTGGTTTGAAGTGGTGCTCAGATTAACATTATAATCTGCCAACAATTGGAGCGGGGGAGAAATGAACAAACGAAAAAATCCCAGACCTTGACACATCTGTTGAAATTCCGTGAAATAACCTTAAGTTTCTTCTAGTCCAAAATATTTTAGAATTTGCTTCCAGATCTTGGTTCCATGGCAGGTGTGTATGTTCTTGTTTGCAATTAGCAGATATAGTTTATATAAAAATGTCTCTAAATGTCACATATTTTTAAACAAATCAAACAAGCAGATGCTTAGGGGAGAGTTGTGCATGTAGTTTCTTGAGTGGAACTGTGTTTCCAGAGAGACCTGCAAGCCTAAACAACAGTGTCACTTTCTCAGCTGTTCTGTGGAAGGAAACCCAGCAGCTGCTGTCTCATAGTGTGGGTACTTGTGGCATGCTCTGGGTTAATGGCAATAGAATTAATATGCCAAATCAATACTGTAATCTAAACATGTCTAATAATTCCCTCCACTGAATAAAAACCTTAAGTGGAGTTTAAGCGACTATTAGAGAGGTTTCCTTATGCTCACTTAGAATAAAATGAAGACAGTAGAAACAATTTAGGATTAAATTAAAAAGCAGGTAAATTATCTTAATCTTACACAGGAATAAAACACTGCTTAAGAATTCAGACAAAGTACTTGGTTTCCTTCTCTGGTTGTTATGGTCACTATCCCTTTAAATATTTTTGGATTAAAAATCCCCTGATTTGATTTAACATTTGATTTATATACACATGCTCATCCTGTTTAAATACTTTGATTCAGTGGAAGAATTATGTTGAGCATATATTTCTGGCAAGCGAGAAAATATTTTACGTGTAGAATGTGAAAATGGAGATTGTATAGTTTCGTGTTTTGAAACCTGATAACACTGGGTTTGTCTGTATAGAATCAATAGTGATTTTTTTTTCCTACCTCTTTTGAGAACTTCTTTTCCTTTGTTTAGCTGGTGTCAGGTGGTGTCCAAGGAAGAAGCCCTTTGCACTTCAGAGGGTGACAAAAAAGAACAGACAGCTTAATGCTACCAAACTAGGGGTGTGTCAAATCTCTCTCAAGAATGATAAACTCAATGGAGTTGTCTATTTTTAACCTCCCATTCTTTCCTTTTGGCAGACTAATCAGTGTTAGCTGAGCTGTTTCACTGAATGAATCCAAGCGACTCTGGTGCTTTCTGAAATGAACAGTGGACCTTGCAAGAGCATTTCAAGTCTGCTTTAATGTATGAAGTCCCATTGTCAAACGCAATGTCAGATGAAGCCAGTTCAGAGCAGAAACCTTCTACAACAACGGTCAGTTCAGTTGCTGTTCAGGCTGGGGATGCCAGTATTGTCATAGCTGTACTTAAGGTAAGGCAGCAGCTGCTGGTATGTCTGTTCTTGTCTTTTTGCTGATTATTACTTCTTTTAAAGGTTCTGTGCAAATGAATAGTTAGCATAAAATAATAAGGCAAGGCCAGTTAATCAGTCAATATCTAATAGAACTTTCTCGGAAGTTAACACTTGTTTCTGTTCACAATTACTCCTTGTGGCTTTTCATTTTTTTTCAAATAGAATAAACAATTTAGCTAAAATATCTAGGCTCTTGGAGGCAAGGAGTTCCTCCTACTCTGTTTAAAAGGTAAGAGATAAATGAAGAGTGCCATGAAAATGTGTTAATAAGCGTGATGATTCCAGTTGAGACTCCTTGAATTATTTTAAACTGTACTCAGCAATAATTTTACATAAATGGTCTACCAACTCCACAAATGAAGTATTTGCTGGGAAAAACCTGATAATAAGTGGTTATTTTTGGAAGCTGTAAATTCATATTCCCATGTGTTTCAGTAGAAACTCTTATGTGCGTATAGTTGTGCTTATAAGCACCTAAAGGCCTGTTTTGTGAGCTGGAATGCACGCCTACAGCTTACACAAAATTTGGCATTGGGAGTAAAGCTGGATGCTGGTAATGAATCCCAGCTGGAATTTATTGGCAGTTTGATTTTTCATTCTCCAGGCAACCTGGGAAACATGCTAGCCTCAGCAACTAGGGTTTGTCTGTAATGCAGAATAAGGTGATAATGAGTTAGGCTGTCAGGTTATTATTCAGGATAGGAGTACCTCAGCTGTGGGAATGCTTTTTCCTATCAGTTGTCACCCTTCCTGTGAGGTGGTCTGCTGCTACAGGGGAGTAATTTCATTGCAAGGAGACTCAAGTTTAGGTGAAGTAATTTATTTTTCCCCTCTGTCCTGTAAATCATGCTGGCTTCCAGTGACATCACTGCTTTGGTCCTTATCACCATCCTTTGGTTCCTGTTCTAAAGGCTGTTAAGTGTCCCTGCTTCTGCTTCTGCAATCTCTTGATACATATATCCAGTATAGATGTGCTTTAGACCTATGTGGTAGAAATAAGATTTGGGGTTATGGTTTTTGCATCTGCTGTGATATATTTGTACCTTCTGCCCTCTCCACCCACCCACCAAGTTTCATTAACTATCTGTATCATCTTCAGATGAAAGGGGAGATGAGTTGGAGAAATGTTTTTGGCTCATTGTGATAATTTTACTCTTCATGGGCAAAACTAAAATCATAGCACTGATTGGGTAACACTAGAGTGTGGGATTTTGTTACCTGTTTCAAAAGAAATGAAGTTTATACTGTGTTCTGTGTCTTTGTCATGTGTATGGCCCCTGAGAGCTGAGAGTCTGTGTGAATAAATAAATGAAAGAAAGCTTGTGTTTTCTGAAGGCTGTAATTGTTTACTTATTACAGTGTGGAAAATGGGTGAAGCTTCAGCTGGCTGAATCAACACCAAATATATTAGAAATTGGCAGCAATCAGGATGAGACTAAAAAACTACTGCAAGATCATGAATTCCTCCTATCTAAGCTGAAGGTAAGATGTGATGGGACCACGAAAAATTCATCTAGTCATTATAGTTCAGGTACAACAGCTAATGTAGATGCCCGTGCCTCCTATTGCAATGTTGTGTTTAGGTTAAATTCCTCACAGAAAAAAATATGTTCACCCTTTGTTAGTGTAGCAGATCTTCAATGATCCTGCTGGGTCCCTTCCAATTTAGGATATTCTATGATTTTTTTGGTAGTTGGGTCTCTGCAATGGAAAAATATGCTTCTGACAGTAGCAGTAAAGACACAGGTTTTTTTCTGCTTTATACATCGGTGTCAAGTCAAATGAAAAAATCCTATAGCCCTTAGTAACTGCTAAATATAATGGAATATCAATTTATGTTTTTAGTTCACCAATGTTGTGAAAAGTTTGATTATTTTATAGCAACTCAAGTTCCTTGTAAGTCTGAAGTAGATATTCCAGGAACATTTTTATTAAATGTTGATTGATATAAGTTCCAGTAAAATGCTACTGTAACATTAAAATAGCTCATCTTCAGCTAGGAAGATTTCAGCTAAGTAGCTGTCCTGAAATCAGATTATGGTGTTCTTGAGAACAGATTATAAGAACAGTGGCATTTGGACACTGAGTTACATGCTTGCATGAAAAAATGAATTATTTTAAATGTGTATATTTGACACTGAGAAGAGTCTGAAGGCACCTAAAAAGAGATTTTGTTTTCATGTTTTTATAGGGCAGATTCACTTTATATCTGTAGACAAATAAATTCCTCTAAAATCTGTGAAGCTCTGCACAATATCTTATCCTTTTTTTTTTTTACATTACATAAACTTTAGATCTGAAAGAGGAAACCTGAATTGAATAGGATCAAGTATTTCATTTAATACCAGTGACTATGTGCTTCCCCAATCATTAAAAATTTCCAATGCTTGTAAGGTAATTTAATACAGTATGTAGAGAATGTAGCTAATACGGTGCATGGTGTTGATTTTGAATAACATGAAGAATAGAATTACAAAAGAAACCACACCAAACATTCCCAAACAACAAAAATCCCCCCCAAATCCTAGAAAGAGATGGTTCTGCTCTCTTTATTTATGCAAGTGCCTCACCTTTATTGCCACTAGTGCTACATTTGGGCATTCTTGAAACAAGCTGCTGTACCTGTTTGAACAATTCAGAATTAGATGAGTTCTTACACACTGATGACAGGAAGAAGCTGATTTTTTTTTCCTCCTAATTCTCAAAAATAAATTTTAAACAGTGGAAAAAGAAAACAATAATTTTCATCTTTGAAAGAAAAACAAATATTCAAATAACATTTTACCATCTAGTCAAATAAGGTCAGAAAATTTATTATGCATAAACAGTTAAAGAATGCTTTTCATCCAAATACAGTGGGAAAAAGGCTCATTATTTCATGTTTTATACCTGCAGTCCTTACAAAATCCATCATTGATTAATGAGTATTCTGTAAAAGGACTAAGTTCAGAATTACTATTTTTCCTCTATAATACAAGAGCTGTGATAATATGGGACTGCAATGACATTGTAATTCTTCCTGACTCTGCATTTTTCAGCCATGACCCTTTGTGATTTATAGTAAGCTGTTAACAATTGTCAGTAATTACTTAGTCTTAAATCACTAAATCCACTCATCAAAGTTTTTCCGAGATTGAATCTCAGTCTTTGAAGTATTGTTTAGAGTAATTTTTTCCACTTAGCATCTGATAATGAATTAAGCATTAGCTGTGTGAGGATGGATAAAGAGGGAGTAATGTTTCAGACTTCAGCATTTATGGCCATAAAGATTTAGTTATTTATGAGAGGATAAAAATGAATTTAAAAATGTGGGCAGTAGAGGGGTTGAAAAGATCGAACAAAATTACAGTTGTTAGATGGTCTTTGTTTTGGTGGTGTCCAGTGTATGCAATTCCACTTGATCTTTTACCCTTAGTGAGCAACATAATTTTGTAAATTTGAACATTAATTAATTATGCAATTACATGAACATTCACCCAGCTGTGGTCTTACCCTGTACAGTTTGTAGTTCTTCCAAACTGGCTACAAGTTACTATTTTCTTTGACAATCTTTGTCCAACTGACACTATCAATGATAGTCTATTGCATCCTATAACATTTGTTTTTACTCTTAATTGGATCTTGGTATCTGGAATGCATTATAAATAATCTAAAAAAAAAAAAAAGGTAAAAATGAAGCTATGGCCTTATGCTCAAGTAAAACTTGTTCCAGTTATGTGCCAACAACGTGATACATTACCTTGGATTTACATAACTTTTTAAAACACTTACATGCAGTAGTGGTAATACTAATGCAGCATATGGCAAATCACAAATGTCTTGTTAGAACAGCGCATTAATAAAAATGAAGACTTCCATAAAACACATTATGAATAGCCATAAAAAAGTTGTAATTCTGAATAATGATAATTGCCATATTAACTTCATTTGTTTTATGTCAGTCTGTAACTTTTCAATGTTACAAGATTAGAAAATTACATTATAGTGAGAGGAAAAAAAGTTGTTTTTGCTTGCGTACTGTGCTTCCTTAAAAATGAGAGGACAGAATCCTTATACTTTCTAATTTAAGAGCTAGAAATTTTTACAAGTAGAAAAATTTATAATGAAGAATTTTTCCACTTGGATCCCAAGAAAATGGACAGGGTTTTGTGTATTGTAGAATTTTTCAGCCACTTGAATTTGAAATACAACAGTGAGGCAGCTTTGAATTGTTTTCCTTTTTCTCTTTTATTATTGTTTTAAAAAAAAAAAGCAAATCAAATCCTGGCAGATACCAATACTTGATATGCATATACTTAATTTCATTGATTAATCTAATACAATTCAATATTAAACTTTTGTGCAGGTCAGGAAAAAATTCTTGAATGAGTAATGATTTGATTATGAAACTAGTCCTGCTTAAGGGAAGATTTAGAGGATTAATACCAAATACATCTTTGGAATCAGTTGTGATTAACTTACCAACTTCTAGAAGATAATTTATGGAATAGTTGACCCTTCTGGTACTATGCCGTGTTATTCTATAAACTCATTCTAGGTTTTGATAACCCTTTGGCTTTTCCATTTCATTATTATTCTCATCCCACTGTATGGATTGTAAGTTATAACCAAAATTTTCAGGCCAAATTCTTTTGTCAACTTAATGTTGAAGATTCCCAGGTGTAAGGACAGAATTTGGCGCAGTGGCCAGTGATCAGTTTATAGTACTTCTGATGCTAGAGGAAACGGAATGTAATCCAGCTCAGTATTTCAGGGGATTATCTTTGACTAAGCAATATTAATAGGCCTTAAAAAAGCCTAAACTACCAGTTTGACACTGAGTAAGGCAGATGGTGCTTTAAAGGGTAATTGGAATAAACTTGTTGAAAAAGAAAACAGTAATTTCTAGACAATTTTTAAATTTCTTTTAATGGTCAGAATTACTGCAATAAAAAAGGTATGTGTACTTCAGGGCATTAGGGAAAAACATATCCAAAATAGTGTCCTTTGACAGAATGTATTCTATCACATTCATTACTGATTTACATTTGTTCCATTAAATTTGGAAATTAGGAACACCCTGCTGCTTTAATAAAAACCAAAATACAACTTTAGAAAAGGGGCCCATTTCAAATGTTTGTGGATTAGGAAACAGATGTGTTATTGTTAATAGAGTTGAAAAAATAAATGTCGAGCAGGAAAGAGTAAAACTGAGACTAAACAGAGATCATGTAAGGTGTTTACAACAACTAGTTAAAATTCTCCTCAGTAGTCTCAGCTAATATGTTGTGATTCTAAACTAATATATTCTGTTTCTGTTTTGCTAAATTAGACCATGTCAGCAGTAACAATTTTGTTGAAAACATCAACTTTTGTGATTTCATGCAAATCTCTTTCCCAACATCTGCCTTATCCTTCTGTAGGTGCCTTTCAGCAGGTTTATATGTTCTGGAAATGTAAATATATGTGCATGTACATTTTGATGTCTCATTTTTCACAATTTAAAAGAAAAAAAAAGTGAGATCAAGACCAGAAAACTTGAGACAAAACTCCCAGGAGGTAAAACAATGTAGACTGCATTGTGCATACACATTTCTCTGCCTTTCTTCTGTTCTCCATAATTCAGTTGCTTCCAAGAGAGGCTCTACCTTGAGATGATGTCTTAGTGTTTGAATCCCCCAATACTAAAACTCGTTGGATCATTTGAAGAAAAAAAAAAGACTGGGTGTGTGTGTGCGTGGCCATGACAATGTCAAAATCCCCACTAAGGCATTCTTGGTTTGCTTCCAAAGCTCTGGTTTTTATCATGAAAGAGGCTGTGGTAGAACCGCTAAAAAATAGAAGTAAATCTAGCCCATAAACTTAAGTTTAAAACCATCAATGTTATTAATTTGGCTCATGAACCTGAAGATTGCTCCTAATTACTTTATTTGCTTCAATTCACAGAGTATAAATTGCAAAATAGTAATTTATATGCTAATAGTCAAGAAAAACAAACTAGAAAATTGCATTCTTCAAAAAAAGCACTAGTATAATATGCTCATTTTTTGCATTGATATCTTTTAAATAAGCTTTTCAATTATTTCAAGTAAAATATTTTCATAATGCTTATTTTTCAGTAAATTTGTTATGGAAGAAATTATTTGTTAATATCTTCTGAATTATTGGCAATTAATTGTTGAAGTGCCCAACAGTACAATTAGCAGCAAAGTTCAGTTGCATTTTTATCACAAAGCAGAGCTGATTTTTGCAAGAGATTTGAACAAAAATGATAGAAGGTAGACTTGAATAAATATTTCTTTCAGTGTTAGTTCAGCTCAGTCATCAATTTCAGTATTTGCATAAGCAAAATTCCTACCAAAATAGTATTTGTCTCAAAGTAGCTTTATGACTATTTTCTGAGCCTTAAGTTAAAAATTGTGTTGTATAATTTTATAAACAAGGATTAATTTTAGCAGCATCTCAGTGAGGAGGGTAGTTTACACCTTGAAAACTCGGAGTTACAGAATCAGTGTACAACAATCAGGAAAGGCAAAAGATAGTTTCCCCCTATAATTCCTTGCTCTTTTAATGGAAGGTAAAGTACCCAAATAATGGACTGTGAACAAAGTAATACAAAATTGTATGAATATTAATTATAATATTAATTAAAATTATTGTAGCACAGCTTACATAAAAATATGTTTTTCGACCTTCAGTCACTTGCACTCTGTCTTTGCTGCAATATCAGACCCAAGTGTACCCCAAAAATGAGTGGTAGGAGAGTTGTGTGAGTGCACAACAGCTGCATTGCCAGGCAGTGAGCATGAATGGCACAGGCCTGGGGGTGTTAGCATTTGAAATGTCTTTTAAATATGTTGAAGTGATGGAATATTAGGATAAAAGCATGTCTAGTTTTATTTCAAAATATAAAGTAGTCAGCTCTTTAAAAAAAGTCTTTGCAAAAAAATTCCAAGTGGAACTACCTCAGATGTCACCTGTTCTTCCACAGTGTGTTCAGTACAGCTGTGAAAGTAGTCTGATCATTTTGGTGAAACTAACCTCCTAGTGACAAGCATTTTGTGTGTAAAGCTCTGAAAGTATTTTACCTCTTTTTTAACATGTCAGTATTGTCATAACAACTACTTCTTTTCATAGTTTAATATTAAGATGTTGAATTACTGAAGAGACCATCCATATCACATGCTCATTTAATTCCTGTTATATTAGCTACAGAGCTGGTCTAGAATGTTAAGAAAATATCATGCTGGATAATTAATGAATGCCACTACATATACAGAGTTGTTGTGCATGTAACAATTTTATGCCTCATCAAGAAAGAAACATCATAAAAGCTTCCCTTACTGCTTTACCTCATCAACTTTTTATCAAGTAGTATAAAAATGGCTGGTTTAGAAGTAGCATGTATTTTTTAGATGTATTGGTAGTGTTCAACAATGGCTCTCTCAAACTGTTCTCTGTCCTTTCATGCCAATGCTATTCATGGACAAAATAAAATTAAATACTCATTACTGCACTCAAAATTCTCTGGAAGAAAATATACATGTTTCATGATACATAGGAAATGAGACCTCTATATATACCTTTAACTTATGGACAGAGGCTATCAAGTAATTGCTTCTTTGTTATATTAATATTATTAAGCAGCAGCTGTGGTTATCTTATCTTGTAGTTACCACCATTGGTATTTTGTGTTTTTATTTTTTAGTTTATGGCATTCACTTTTTCCCATGAATTCAAGCTTACCTGCTAAAAGAAAATGCTTGGCATAATGAAGTTTGAAAATAATTTTACATTAAAAATATGGGTAAAGCATTTTCAGTTGTATCTAATAAGCATTCTGAAGCATACCTCATCCTACCCTGCAGTCACAGGGTGATGAACTCACATCCTTGTGTATTTCATTCATTCATCTTATTTCTTTTACTCTACACTTTGGCCTTAAAGCTTCTACAAGATTTTCATAAGATCTTTTTTCTAGGTGACAGAAAACAAGGCAAACTTCCTTTAGATCTGTTAACCAGGATTTGTCCAACAGAGGTATACATCGCAGTACTTGGACTCTAGCCTTTTTTGGAGGTTGAAAAAGAACCAAGGCTTTGTTAGCTCTAAAGACATTGTGGATATATTTAGGAAAATCCAATATTATATAGACAACATAATTTTTATAGCTTTGTGGATATAAATATTGTTGAGAGGTAATGATGTAAACCAATATAAGAAATACCAAGAAAGAGTTTAAAGAACTAGGTTAAAGATTGCAGTGAAAGAAGCATTTTCATTTAGACATTTTCATTCAGAACTTTCATGAGCTCGGCTCATTTACTTACCATTATCATTGTTTTGATGAAGCTGGGTTTTAAATTTTGTTAGTTGTACAGCCATATAATCTCTGTGGCTAGTTTATCAGACCCACTGAAAAAGTATCCTGACACCTGTATCAGCACAGTGTTTTTGATTTTGTTTACAGATTTCTTATGTTTTGCCTTTTTTTTTTTTCTTCTCAGGCCTTGGAAGAGCAGGTATGGGATCTGCTGCATGAAGCAGACAAGGTTGCAGAAGGGAACAAAGAAAAGAGCCAGATTTATGATGCTATGGCAGAGACCCTTGGGGATTCATGGGATGCCCTCATCATTATGTTAGAGAAGCGACAGGCACTTCTGGAACTTACTACAGTGTTCTTTGAAAATGCTCTAGAGGTTTGTATCTAAATCAAATGACTGTTTATTTGAAGCCTTTGCCCACTGTAATTTTATGCTGTTGTGTGTTGTTCATTGTATTCCTAAAGGTTGAAGCAATTAAGAAAATAAAAATTTCCAGATGCATTCTTTTGCCACCTTCCAGATAGTACAAGATGAAGCTGAACAAAAAAAAAAAACATGTAGACTTTAGGAAATATCTTAGTCATGATGTCTCCAAAATCTGTACTTTAAAAAAATGCCAATGAAAAGTAGAACTGGGTCAAAACAAAAAATATGTAATTCAGTGGCTATAGATATTCTACAGAATATCTTTTATTCCTTATGATTAAAGTTATTTGGTGTTGAAAGAACTGAATTGTCAGGTGCCTTCCCTAATGCTCACTGAAAATTAGCCACTGAAGGTTTTACACCAAAATATCTCTACACCTACTGTAATTATGCAAAGTAAACATTACTCCAGCTTGCCAGTCCTTTACCTGAAACTTTAATGTACAGATGGGCACAAAAGAACAACTGTGTGACCCCTGTTTACCCATTTCTCTGTTTCTCTTATCCTAATTCACTGATCCCCACAGGTAGCTAAAGCAGTGAGGGATTCCATGCCCTGCAGGTGTGTGCTCACTCTGTGTAGCCTAAGATTGAACTGTCCTCACATCCTGTAGCCTTGAAGAGAATTAATAATTCTCCCTGATAATTATTTTTCTACATTAACCCAGTGCCATCCCTAAATTACAGAAGGAACTGTGGTACTGCTAATTGTCCTAAGAACTCCAGGATGATCTTTAAGGTCCCACCAAACCCAAGCCATTCTGTGATTCTGTTGTGTTGTGATAATGTGTATTATACAAAGAAATTAGTACAGAGTTGGCACAAGGCTTTGTAGGGAAGAAGATTCACAAAGTGACAAACTATAATTACAGATTATGTCAACTAAAATTTGGGTTTCTTTTATCAATCACTACCTCAAAAAAAAGCAAACCAGAAGGTGCATAGAGACCACAAAGCATCTGTATCTAGAGGTCACTAAAAATGCTGTTTTCCAAGAATTTACAAATTCTCATGAACTTTCCCAATAATATAGAGATTATGATGTAGTTATACAAAAGAAAACTATATTGTGCTTCTTCCTACCCTTTGTTTTCTTAATGCAGTTTGCTGTTAAAATTGACCAAGTTGAAGATTTCCTGAAAAATGCTCAAGAGTTTAACAATATTGACTCTTTGAGAGAACTTCTTCTGCAACAAGACCATCATACAAAAGGTACAAAAAGTATTCCACTCCTGATAGCATGTCATTGTGCACTGACTCCTTGAAGGATAATTTTACTGTTTCTGGGCATATTTAAAAAAACCCATAAATTAGAACAAATAAGAAAATTTTTATTTGGAAAAATATGATGGTGAAATAGCTCTTTAGCAGGCTTCCTGAAAGATACGAAACTCTTGTTTTCAAGCTGACTCTCTCATGATTCCATCTTTGCTTCTGCAGACAGCCAGTGTTAAGCTTGTATTCTGATTTCAAGGCAGTGCAGATCAGGTGAGCTGCTGAGAAACCAAATGGACTTTTAGTGCTGATTTGCAGCAGGTTCTAAAACCGTCCTTCTGTTCCATGAGGAAGTTTATCCAAGGCATCGTTGCTACCAATGAATTAGCATTTTTCTATGGAAAAACTTCCACTAGAAAATTTCCAATCAGTTCTAGTAAAAAGCCCCTGCAAATTCCAACAGTTTCTTGGGAATGGCCAGGGGAGTACTTTGCCCACTGCTTTTCTGTGCCCAAGGAGGGGGGGTTGAAGCAGAAGTGTTAAGTGAGGGTGGGAACTATGAGACAGAGGTGGCAATTAGCCAGTTTCAGAATCTTTCTGCCTACAATGATTCCTGCGTTTTGCTTCTGCTTTTGAGGAGTGGGGTTGTTTCACTTCTCCATTGACTTGCCTGATCTGTTCCAAGAGGTATTGCAGCTGCAACTGTAACACTCTTGGACAAAAAGGTGCTTTCTCCCCTTCCACAATTTTCTTGCACATATGTTTGCCCATAAAAATTCTTCCGTGCAAATTCTTTTTTTTATTCGAACTTTCATGTGAAGCACCTTCTGTCATATTGTGGTACTCTGAATTCAGAAAAGGGGAAAAAAGTTTTTAGAACCAATCTCATTGTGTGGCTACTTCACGCAGCTTTGCAATTCCATATTGTTCTGCATTTTTTATGTCTTAAGACTCCTTCTTTGAAATTTTAATCACACTTTGCTGTATCATTAGTAACAATTGGCAGAATATCAATTATGCTTTATTATCCACTAGTGGAACACTAGCTTAAACATTTTTAGCTACCTTGAGCACCAGGTATTCTTCTCAGGAGACTGAATAGAAAATTGAACTCAGATAACTCTAATATAGGGTTTGGGTCTTACAAATTGATCTTCATGGGAGCAAAGTGGTCACTGTATAGCAATTTTAACCTGAAGTATCTGGCGGTAATTTACTGCTGAAAAGAGGGTCTATAACTGTAAGAATCAGATGAAATGGTTTGCCAGAGAAAAACTGCTTTGATAGTGATAAGCCTTTCCTCAGACAAAGGAAAATGGTTGCAACTGATTGACTTCTTATTCTATCTTAATCACATCAAATTTGGAAAACTGATATTGAGCTATTTGATAAAAAACAGTGTATTGCTTTCTACGAGAAGGATACTATCTACCCACTCCAAAATAAGGTGGCTGAAAATACAACCCTTACAAAGTATTGGCTCCACCAGAATGTGTGAGTAGTTTATCACAAATGCTTATCGGTTTGGGGAAAAAAAAAAAAAACTTTTGAAACAAATGCATTTCAAAAAGGTGAAAAATATGAAATATCCTTGTTTATCCATTTCTATGTGTATTCAATTTTGGATGGACTGAAATGGAACATTTCTGATTAATACCATCTTTCTGAAAGGCAAGAATTAAAATGGACAAGCTTGCTGCAGTGAGCTCATGAAAACTAATCTCTCTTGTTAGCCCTTGGTGACTGGAGAAGTGGAGGCATCCCACGCTTTTTCTCTAGGTGTTCTACATGAAAGGTGGAGATTTAGGGTGCTTTGCCTTGAGTTACATGCATTCAGGTGGGAAGATGAATGTTTCAGAGGGTTGCTTCTGATTGCTTAACTCGCAGCTCTTTGCTAACATTCCTTTCTTTATACTTTTCTTCATGTCTACTTCACCACCTGTTTTGGTTTGGCTCCCCTTCTTCCTTATTCCATACATAACAATTTCTCTTTTTCATTTGAAAGTCTTAGGAATACTTTCATTGTCCAATGAATACTTAGGAATACTGATCATTGTCCATTCAGTAGATTTTGTACTATGTGACTTTAAGGACACATGATTAGTAGGTCATTAAAGTGTACTAGTCCACTGAATTTTAACCTTGAATGTGTCTAGGTAGAGATTATAGAAAGTAAGAGTTCCTGATACTCCTGGCTTATTTATAAACAACCTTCAGGCATGAGAACATTTTCTCTCAGCTGTTGTGAGAGACAAAAAGATCTAAACTTAGCTTGCATCACTAATGAAAAACTACAGAGGCTACTAACCCACATAAAAAGCAGGGTAGGAATTTCCATTTCAGCTTACCTGAGGATTGGGAAACCATCATAAAGAACTCAGTTTTTAGAAAGCAATAGTACTTCTGGGTTTTGTCTTGATGACATACAGTACACCATTATTTGTGGGTATATATGTTATATGTACCATTGTAGGTACGTATATGTATACACCATTTTACCTTTGTAGGTTTATATGAGAGCTGTCCTAATTGAAATATCTTAGTATATATACACCTTTATGTTGTAAGCATTTATGTTCATGCAATACGTGAAAATATGTTGCAGTCATGTATGCATGTAGATAGTTCGAAAAATACTTGAGTATTATTTGAAATATGCCACTAGAATCACAAAACACACTGGGTTTTTTTCCTATGAAATTCTGTTCTTACAGAACTTTTGGAGAAGTCATTTGCACTTTTAAACAAAAGCCAAGAGCTAACTGAATTCATAGAAGAATTCAAGTGTGAGGGGCCAAATGCAAATCCGGAGATGATTCAGGGAGCCCACAGCAGCTGCTTGAAAATTGACAATCTCCTTGAAATGCTACAAGACAGGAGACGGCACCTGAATAAATTTCTTAAACATCAGCGCCAAGGACTGGAGCAAGTTCTGCAAATTTGTTTGTGGCACCAACAAGAGAACCAGGTAAGGGAAATCACAGTAAAATAAAAAACACCGAACAACTGTTTCCCAGTACAAAGAGAATAGGAGCTTCAATATATTTATTAGGCCAATATCTCTGGGCCACTTCTGTTTGATGAGATCCTAACTTTTGAATGTTTGACTTTGTAACTATAGCTTCCTCAGAGTGTATTTTAATATAACTGTAACATCATCTAATGCAGTATTTCCATTATGTGGTTTGCTCCTCTAAGTTATCAAATTCGGAGTAGGTGTGTCAAAATACACAGTACAGGCCACCCACGTTCAAACTGCCTGAGGTGTGCTTGGATTTAATTTATTGCATGTCAGTGTGTGTGTTTTAAGACAGGAAGAAAGGGAGCGGAAAAAGGAAGTTTTTCCTAGTGGGAGTAATTTCTGGAAAGAAAAATGTGCCTCTTCATAATTTTTGATCTGCGCTGTATTTGCTCCTTCTTTCTATAATCTTGCATTAGTGTCAGATGGTTTGAGAGGTTTGGCAGAGCCCAGGACAACGTATTGCTGTCAGAAACAATTCTCCTTCTGAAAATAGTGGTGGTTACCCTGGTGTGCTGGGTGCTGGTGCCCAGGCCTGGCAGTGGGGGCTGCAGGGCAGAGAGCTGCAGGATGGGGGTCTGCAGGGCAGAGAGCTGCAGGATGGGGGTCTGCAGGATGGGGGTCTGCAGGGCAGAGAGCTGCAGGATGGGGGTCTGCAGGATGGGGGTCTGCAGGATGGGGGTCTGCAGGATGGGGGTCTGCAGGATAGGGGGCTGCAGGGCAGAGAGCTGCAGGATGGGTGGCTGCAGGGTAGGTGGCTGCTGTGAGGGGAGCCCAGGGCTGCCTCATGCCCAACACAGCTGTTTGCAGAGGGCTCTGCCACAGCAACACCACAGGGCAGGCACAGCCCCTCTGCCCAGGTGGTGGTGCCACCACTAACGTGTGTTTAAAAAAGGGTCAAGCACTGCACAGATACAGGGAGGAGTGAGCAGAAACAACAAAAAACAACACTGTGTACACCCAGGTCAGTCAAGAAGGAGGGGAAGAAGGTGCTCCTGGTTGTGGAGCAGGTATTTCCCTGCCGCCTGTGGAAGTTTTGGTAGATACCACTCCCCTGCTGTGTGGAGGACCATGTTGGAGCAGGTCTTGGAGGAGTTCACAATGGAATTCCCTGAAGGAACTGAGGCCATAGAGAGCCCATGCTAGAATAGGGTGTCCTGACAGGAGCTGCAGTTCCTGGAGAACCTGTGCTGAACACACCAGAAAAGTGTGAGGAGGAAGCAGTCACTGAGAAGAAATGTAATGTATTGGCCATAACACCCCATTCCCCATCCCCATGTGCCACTTGAGAGGGAAGAATAGGGCTGGGTAGAAGGAAGGTGTTTTAGTTTTTCTCTTTATTTCTCACTAATTGACAATAAATTAGTTTTCCTCAAGTTGAGTCTGTTTCACCTGTGATGGTAACTGGTGAGTGATCTTCCTGTCTTTAGTAGATCACTCATTTTCCATGCTCATTTTCCATCTGATTTTTGTCCCTCTGTTCTGTAAAGGAGGAGAAGTGAGAGTGTGGCTGGCTGAGTGTCTGGCAGCCAGACAAGACCAACCCACAACAAGCTCAGCCATGCTGTTGGTGTGGAGTTCGCTACCCACTCCCCTCCAGTTATTTGTTGGAAAACTTGCTGGTGCTTCTGAACTGGCAGTGGGAAACGTAGGAATGCAGCGGAAGACTGCGAACATTGAAATCACCTGGACCATAATCAGTGCAAAACAAGCAGCTTGGCAACCTGAGAAAAATGTTGAAGAGCCTTTTATTTCTGATATGAATTATTCATTGCAAACAGAGCAGATAATCATTGTAAATGAATGATAAGGTCTGATTCTTGAAACACCAGAGTGATTTTAGATTTCAACCAATCAAAACCACTGTCTTTTTCAAATAGCTTTGAAAAATATTAACCTTGTCTCCTTTCCCATCTTTCACCAAAATCACCGAAAGCAAAATTCTGTCGGTTTCTTACTTAAAACGCAGTGAAGTGTTCCCAGCGGTTGCTTAAGAGCTAAGATAGCACAATGAAATCACTCAGAGGTATTAGCTGTAGTGGAAGCCAACTGATTAAACTCACTGTAATGGAAAGGAATATTGCCAACTGGTAAAGGGATGAACACTTAGCTATAATAGGGTTAAAGAATCACTTTTTCCTCTGCCTAACATTACAGAAGTACTAGTTTGTTTTGCTAAGATAAATGATAAAGAAGAACAGCCCTAATTTACAGAGAAATTTTTATTTGACTTCTAGCACAGTTTTTATTGTCCACTCCATTCATTTGTATTTCAGTGAACCCATAGTAAATGTTCTGTGAAAATGTGCTTCCAGGAAAAATCAGTAAGTACACATCTGGAGGATATGCTCAAAAATTAAGGGTCAGTAGTAAAATAATTTGTTTAATCTTCTAGCTCTGTTGAGCTCCTGAGATAATGTCACCAATATTTTATTTGTAGCTGAAAATATTTCCAACATATTTTGAAACGTTCTTTCATATTTTAGGATTGTTTAAATTTATTTAAAATTGCTTCTACATGAGCATATAAAACAAAAAAGTCTCTAGTGTGCTATTAAAATCTGTAGTATCTACAGCACAAAAATTCTTAGTATGCTGCATATGATTTAAGTATAGTGGTGATTTTCCAGGTTGAAAAGACTGGGGGAAGTCCCCTTGATAGCAATAACTCATTTTTACTACTATTTTAAAATGCAAAGCTTCACTCAGAACTTCTTGCCATGTGTTTACAAAGAAAGTGAGAGGTACCTACTATGAGTTAAGCAGATATAAATGCAAGTAATTCTGTGCACTTTAGAAGATATATTTGTATACTGCATACGTTTTCTGAATATACTTGCTGAAGTAAGTTTAGTAAGATGAAATAATTTTTTTAAAGCTACTAAGATTATCCCACACAATTTTATCTCAATAGCTTTACTAGGTTTTTCAAGGTAGGGAAGGAGAGGTTCTACTAGGTCAAAATGACTCAGATCTGTAGTGTTTTTTTTTAAATAGGGATATTTTTAAGTTACTCCAGTTCAAGGGAGAATGTACAAAACCTACATGGTGTCAAAAACCGTGCCTTTATACTACGTGTGGCTATAAATTGATTTCTTTTTTACTATTCCTTTCCTTCTGCATTTATTAACGTTCAAATAACACAAATGTAAGCATTTAAGTACAAGCATGAACATTAGGAATGAAAAATTAAAGGAATGAGAATGAGTGTGCGGTTTTTTGGATGAAACTGTCTTGTACATATTTTAAAAAATGGACAATCACTTCTCAAATTATTCACTGACCGAGTTCTTTTTGTTATTTAATTAGGTAACATCTTGGTATACGAAAAACATCAGGGATTACTTTCAGAAGCAAAACTTAGGCTCATCTCTATTGGAAAATGAGGAGTTACTTCAAGAGCTTGAAGAAATGGAAGTCAAAGTGAAAGTAAGGAATAATGTAATTGGTTGGTGAAGCAACTTTTAAAATGAGTAGGAAAACACAACCTTGGGCATTTAACAAGCAATATAGGAGTAGATATTTTGTAGGTGTGCATAAGATATGTATTTCTATGTGTCTAAATTATTTTAGTAATTTTACTTCTTTTAATATAGGCCTCCATGCTTCTCAGTGGTTTTTGCATTCCAAATTTTAAAAGCTATCAATAAAAAGAAGAATAATCCTTGATGTTGATCAGTTGTTTTTTCAGTTTAGTGATCAAGTACCATACCAATAATTTACGTATTAAACCATGTGACAAAAAATAAAGAAAAGCAATTTTGTTCATGTTCATAAAGGATAAAACCCCAGCCATTTCTACCATAATTAGTTGTCACTGAGCTGAGTATGTGATTGGAGGAGGTATTTGCCCATTTATTTCTTATAACTAAAAGTAATTGAAAATGTTATTTTCATTGTTAATATCAGTTTTCCAGAGAATGAATCTGTTACCACCACTTATAAGAGCAAGATGGGATTAAAAAACAGTTGATATAAAAAGAAAGGATATTTGTATGATATAAATTGCCTATATTTAGAACCCTTTTTAGGTACCTCAATTGTGCAGTCATCAGGTGAGTGCTGTTGCTGGGTCAGGATCATTCTTCACTGTATCATTTTCAAGCAATTGAATTTGGATAACCCAGATGACTGAGCAGGTCTTTTCCATCCAAAAACTATTCCAGTAGAAGCAAATGCCTTTTTAAAGGCTGTTGTGTTGATAGCAACTAGCAGGCTTATGATTGTTCACAGCTATGCTTCCTTGTAAGCTTTGTGGTTAAATGTCACATTTGCCTGCTTGCATAATTAACAGTTAACTGCTTCAGGGCTGGCATGTAAACAGAATACAATAATATTTCTAATGCTTCTAAGAAGCTTGTCAGAAAACACATTTTTTTTCTTTAAGATAGATGAATATGTAAATATAAATTCTTCTGAACAGACCTTTGGCACAAAAAGAACAGATAAACAATAAATGAGTAAGCTGTGGGGACACATAAAAATGTCGAGGGGTCCTAAAGTATTACTGAATTTTAGAACTAGCCAAATAATCATTGATCTTCCCCATGTTCCATTCTGAAAGTTTATCCTTTTAATTCACTGTCTGAAATAGAAATGATAGCATAAGTGCAGAAAGAAGAACAATAAACATTTTCATTTTGTATAATAATCCTTTCCATGGTTGACCATTCAGAAACTAACTTATACTGATAACTTTTATTATTGCAGTTTTGCCTAACAATTCTTCTCCTATACATTATGTAATAGATAATTCATATAATTGTACTGAATTGCCTTTTTTTTTAAATGAAGTCATTTAAAAGTGTCTAACATTAAACATTTTTGTTATGCATCCATGTGAATTATGACTTAGAACATCTTATCTTTAGCCTTCTGCTTTTCTTACTAGCAGGATGTTCTAGCAGGGGGAAATTAAATTCTTGAACGGAATGTTACTGAATATGTTGGTTTTGCTTATGATATGCAGAAGAGTGGCTAGGTTGAACTGCATACTGCAAATACTGTTGAGAAAGCTGTGAGTTATGGGGCTTTGTGCTTTAGTTTTTGCAGCACTGAGCCGCAAACATTTAGAACAGAATTAAGGAGGAACCTGGCATCTTGATTGTAAAATTCAGATAAATGTTCAGATTCAAATAAATTCAGATAAAATTCAGATAAATACAACCAAATATGTATTTCAGTAAATATTTTTTAGAGAGCAGAGATTAATATTAAATGTCATCACTGCACGAAGTAGTGTGTTATCTGTATGACTGGAATACACTGAAACATGGAACAACCTAGAAATGAACTTGTCATCTTTGCTCACAAACTAAACAAAGGCAGTATTACAAGATCTATCATGTTTGCACATGAAATTCCCTGAATCTTCAGCAACTCACAGGCCTTCAGCATCGCATCCCTGATCTGAAGTATTTATACGTATGTATGTATTTTGGAACTGCAGTGCTGTTGCGTGAGATATTCATTCTGTTTGAGAAGCTGTTGATTAATTCCATAACAAAGTTTAGGGAAGGCCAGTGAAGAACTAGGTACAATCTTAAAAAAATATTCCACAGGTCCTGGAAACAGATATATTATTCCCTCTATATTCCCATACATGTGTCCACAAAATTCTCTTAAGCTGTTTTTCATGTAAAATTTTCATTTCAGTTGTTCATACAACTTGACAGGGTCACTGTTTTATGGGATCTAATCTTTCATCCTAGTAATGACACAAATTTCTGGTAAGTCTGAAATTACTTGTCACTAGTTTGTTCAAACAAGCATACTTCAAAAAAAGGTTCTACTCAACCTCTGTAACTGACCTTGTCTCATTATTTTATAGCACTTTACTACTTTTTGTGCAATTAGAAAATTTCTTGAACAATAATTTTGTATTTTCTTCCAAATCACCTATGAAGTTATTAAATTTAATGTGGCGAGATCAAGTTTAGGAACAGAATGGTTTAAAAAATACAGTGCTAGCAATTTATCTAGTTTTCTGTAAAGCAAACATCTGTAGTTCCCAAAATATGTTTTCAGGTTGCATTCAGACCAGCAAGATATTGTGATGTATAACAGTGCTGTTACATCTGTACAACATAATGTACTTTGCAGACAGTGACAGTATTGCTGTAAAATAACACCAAGTTACCTTGTAACTCAAATTGCTAAAAAAAATTGCAACATGTTTTGCTTTTTGAAGCTCTGTTTGGCATATCTTTTATACACATGCATGTGATCACCACACATTTGAGTATTTGCTGAGCACTTTTGTGGTATAGAGTAATCAGAATTATTTTCTATTTGTTTGGATTTTGTCATGGGATATTTTTTTCTGCAAAAACTAATTTTCTCTCTGAAATCAAGAGTCCTTATGACGTTGACAATAACTTAATATGTGACAAAATTGTAAAACACTCGTAAGTAGAAATTAAGTCCATCTTTTCAAATGTACAGCTTCACTGCATTAAGTGCCTCAAAATTCCTCTGCCTCTATTTTATTGAGCTACTTTTTAAAATGTCTGATTCTTAAATGTTTTATCAAGATAAAAACCAGACACCAGTTTTTACTGTCTATATATTGGAAGGAATCTTTTTAGCAATAGGAAAAATACAATATCAGTTTTTTTCTAGCAACACGAAATCTTCGGTTGGAGTTACCTTCCCTTCAGGGATCCCTTTAGTGTCCAACTTATGTTGTAATAAACAAGGTGAATAATCCACATTAATTTCAGAGTGAAATGTAATTGCAAGAAGTCTTCAGAAATCTTATCAATTCAGTTAACTATTTTATCTGCTTATGTGAGAAAATATGGAAATGGTTGCAAAAAAACATTTGATTTCATGTTCAGGAAGAACTCTTAGGAGTACCTTACACACTACTTGGCTAATTAATTAGTTACATGCCTTATCTGTAGCTTGGTCATTGCTTACAGCAGAGTTGATGTCTGCTGTCACTTGTCTAGTTCCCTCATGCCAAAACTGAATGTTTCCAAAAAGCAGTTAGGGGCTTTAAATTATTTTCCATTGATGAAAAAAATATAGCTAGATTTTAATTAGTGTCTTTACCATACTGTCTGAGTGTCCATGGCTGTCTCATGGCATTCTGTTAAAAGTAATAAAGACACTGGTAAACTAGTCTGAAACTACTTGGGGATTTCTGTGTTAGAATCTAAAGTAGTGTAAATAAATCTTTTCAAGTAACATTCCATATGTATGCTATAGACTTGAGGGTGTAGGGAAATGTTTCTGTGTAATAGCCATGCAAAGCAAGTTTAAGTGTTCTCATAAGGAGTAAGATAATGGAAAATTCCAATATCTGAACAGTTTCACAAAAGATGTTTACTCACATGTATTGTTACAGTAAGTCGAACAGGACAAATGATTTGCTTAAATTGTTCAGAGACCAGACTAAGAAGGATTTACAGGCTTAACATCTTATTTATGGGACTGGGCTGAGAGGAGAAAGGAGAATGATTTATTATGTTCTCAGGCTGGTGTCTTATCTTGAACCTCACCTTGATAAGAGGTGAAACCACTGAAAACATTATTGCTAGCTTGTAAAATAACTGAGCCCAAAATTAAAGGCAAGGGTTCACAATTGGAAAAAAAAAGGCTTCAACCCTCGCAAACATTAGAAGGGCCCCCACACTCCCACAAGGACTTACCGCCCGCCTGCCACCTCCTCCACCCCCTTGCCCACTAAGAATTGAGAGAAAAGTCATATTTAGGAAATCATGTTTCAATAGGAATATCTGCTGGCACTGATTACCTGCTTGCTGTTGCATTTCTATGTGCATTGGAGGTGCTTGACATGGTAAAAAAGAAGTGCTAGCACCGCTTAGTGGCCAAATAACTTCAGAGATGAAGAAAAGTAGTATTTTAAATTGTTTACATTTGATCTAGTTTCTGCCACTTTCCAGGACTGAACAATGCTGGAATCAGTCCTCTTTTTTGTTTTTACTAAGGATCAGTAGCACAATGGAGTACTCTGGTTTACAGATCTGCATGCTTTTCAAGCTTGGAACAGCCATGTTAGGTAATAACATGGTAATACTCTAATGAGCTTACAAGGTGGTTCTCAATGACAAAATTAAATATCACTAACAATGGTATTAATTGCTCTATCTCCCAAATCTTCGTTTGTGAAGCCTAGCCATGAATTGCTATATTTGTTGACATTGATATGAGGATCAACAGTATTGCATTTACCTGGGATTTTTTTCCCAGATCTCACAGCTACTGCTTAGATGCACAGAAATGTTATTTCGCAGTTCAATGTCTGTCTGGAGCTCTCTTCTGTGGCCTTCCTGGATGGCCGTGCACCTTTACCATTCTCTGCATGGTTGCAAACCAGGCTATCCAGCACTTGCCAGTTTTTCTGAGACGGGTGTTCTGTCGAGTTGGACAAATGTTGCATTTCATAGCACAGCAGATGAAATACATGCTCCTGTATTTCGATAGCTAGAACAAAGTATGTAAAGAAAAAGAATTTTTCTTTATGGGCAATTTTATTTTTACCTAAACATTCATCTTTTCTGTGCAGCAAAGGGAAATCTGCATTCATCTATTTGGTTCTTCTTTGTATCTGATTTTCCTGAAGTGCCATCTCATTTCCTTGGGAGAGTCTGTCTCTTATTTTTAACATTAACTGTCTATTATTTTTCAGTTAATGGTTTGGAGGATATTTGGGTTGGTTTTTTTGTTGTTTGGGTTTTTTTGTTTGGTGGGTTTGTTTGTTTGTATTTTGTTTGGTTTTGTAGGTCTCTCTCTGTCCTGGAATTATCTTTTAACAGATGTCAACTATTTTCTGGGGGGTGACAGATTTTGAGCTACTTTTTTCTCTTTCTGTTTGTTGATTTTATCAGCTCACTGTTAAATACAGTGATACAGCCATCCACTGAACTTCACAGAAGACAGTTCATATGGTAATTATCATAGCACCTCACAATCCCAGTTGTATTAGTGCACACTATTTTATTTGTAATTTGAGGGAATTATATGATTGGTAGTTATACTGCAGTGTAGTTCTTGAAGGTAAAAGCCTTTCGAATATATTCACAGGAACTAAATTCTCAGTGTACTGATGTATGCAATGAATCAGTTACAGGCAAATTTGGGCTCAAAAAAAGTTCAGTTGTGAACATTTTTGCATATGAGAGAATAAGCTAATTTATCACAATTCTGAAAAATACATATATTAACATTTAGTTGATTTGTGGTTTAAATGCTACTTTATCTACTATATGGATCATGATCTGAAGTCAAATAAGTGTGTTTCAAAGTTTTATATGTTTAACCCTAGAATATTCCAGTGCAAAAACTTTTATTTAGCTTTTCAGGTTTTAATTCAAAGTTAGAATTTTAAAGTCAGAAATGTTTATGTTATAGGCCAAAAAAGCCCATTTATCCCACAATAATTGTTTAAGAACAATTTGTAGGTGTTTCTGAATTTTTTTTCCCAGGCTTGTGCTGGATATTTTAGAAGGTAGAAAAAGTTCAAGACTTTTACCTAAAGCTACAATGTTTTTAGTTCATCAGTTTTAACACTCTTGAAAAATACTATAATGAAAGTAAAAAGCAAAAGTAGATTTAACGTGAAAAAAGCGCAGATCTATAGATTTTTACAGTAACTTAGGCCCTCCATAGCAGAAAGGTAGAGTGTTCACAACAGTGGAGAAATGATTTACAAATCTAGCAGGATTTTCATAATTTTCCTTTTCTTACTCATCGCATTTTCAAGATGAAGGGATATGCTGCATTGCACAAAAAAAAAAAAAACTGGATGGATATAGGGACCTAAAAAGATGGCTGAGCCTCCATACACAATAGCTTACCATCCACCCTCAAAAAAAAAAAAAAAGGATACCAATCAAATAAATCTGTAATCTGAGTCATTTCTACTTCTTCAGTGAAGGTGTTATCAGTCCTTTTATATTTATTATCATGAAGTCTTTTTAAAATTTTTCCTCCATAAAAGGCTTACTTAATAACTAAATAATCTCTAATATCCTTTTAAATTGGTTTTAATTTAATGTAAATCTGCATGCTAAAATCATGTTTAGCATCTCTTTTATCATTTTAATTATGCATTGTTTTTTAATTGACTTTGCTAAAATGTTTATCTCTTGTTACAACTTGCAGCAGTTAGTACCATGGACTAATTCCCACTGAAATATATATTCCCACTTAATATACCTTGTTAGTTGTATTTTTGAGTAAGATGAAAGGTATTTTTATATAAGTCATAATTTTGAGATTATCATGTTGGTATGTATTGACATCCCACCAGGCATCATGGCTTTTTATCCCCATGAGTTTATGCATATTTTAAAATTCTTTTTGTTACCCATGTCAATACCTCTGTTTCAGCTTAAGTTCATGTGCTATGAAGCTGCAGAAATTAATCCATAAGTTCAAGACAAGAACATACAGGCATAGTCTGAATGCATGTGTTTTCCATTTTGAGCTGTGGTTTTCATTGAGTTGTGAGTAGTGCTGAATCTTCTTCCTGACTTGTTCAAGGTAATCTAGAATTCAGCAAGGAAAGTAGTCCTTTCTGTTGGAATTGCCATGTGCTATTTAAGCTTGTTGAGAATTGTAGGGTGTCTCTCACTTGTTAGTTTTTGAACCAGATCTAGTCCATACCAATAAGGAGGGAGAGAGAACTGCATCTGGTTAAGAAGTCTGTGTAAAATAAGTTGTTCATCTTTTTAAACAAGTGTTTTTAATGTTCCAGTTGTGGTCAAAGCAATGGGCAGTGTCAGTGCACTGAAATACAGAGACCAAAATAGTTATACTACTGCATACTGTACTTCAAGGAAGGATAAAGCAACATGGTGGGACACTGTAAGGGAATTAGAATTGCTGCTGTTTTGAAAGATCTATGAATAACCAGGTTACTTTTCTGGGGGAAAAATTCCAAAACCAGAAGCTTTCACTAGAAATATTTTCACTAAAAAGAAACAACAAACATGAGGTCCATGATCTTTAAGCATGCTGAAAAGCATTCTTGTTGTGCCCTGTGTATGCTTCAGAGTGTTTTCATGAAAAAATTCTTATTTTAAAATATTCTTCTGTCTACTTTACCAGACATTTGATACAAATTCTTGGAAGCAAGTGCTAAATTAATTGAAAAAAGGTTCTTCTATGATTTAATCAATTACTGGAAAAATGTGTTACCTAATTCATGGGAATTTGTGGTATAGTATTAGATGCTTCTTTTGTTTTGAACAGTATAATAAGACACCAATTTTAAGTGTTGACAAGTACAGCAGCAATAAAGTACACTGTGTAAGAGTTTTAGTATTTTATAATTTTCTCTATAAAAAACACAGGGGAAAAAAAAAAGAAGCAACCAAAGCAGTATATTACTTTTCTATGTATAATTGATTAAAATGGAATTTTTCCCATTAGGAATGGAATTCCACTGTGGAACAACTGGAAAGTGAAGCATTTAGGATCTTGCTTTCAGAGGACTATACAGAAAAAGAACAACTAAAACTTTCAAATCAGAAAATCTGTTTGTTACGAGAAGAAGTGTGCTTCCATATGGAAGAAAGGAAAGCCCTGCTGCAAGAGGCCAATGACTTTTTTCACGCTGCTGACAAGGTTGGTAAGAAGCCAAGTTTGTAATAGTAGCTTGATAATAAAACTGTTAGTGTGCTCTTGAAGACTGATATATGTGGGATTAAGCAAACAGTTTGCTAAACAATTTGGAATGGAAAACTACAAATTCAATTACCCTTTAATATGACCTTTTGCCTCAAACTTCTATCCAAACTGGCAAATGCATTCTGAAAAACTTTTTTTTTTTTTTTTTTAACTTCTATCCAAACTGGCAAATGGATTCTTGAAAACTTTTTTTTTTTTTTTTTTAGTTTTTTTGTTTGTTTTTTTGTTTGTTTGTTTTTTGAAGTATATTGAGAAGAGCACTCAGTTTCCAAAGGAAGATATTTGGGAAATATTTATTTGCCAAAAATTGGGCTTTAAGATCATGAGCTGTGTCACGATGGCATAAAACTGTATGAAGATACAGGAACTGTGCTGAGATACCCAAACTGTTACAGGCTCGTATGGATACCAGAAAGAATGTCTATTCTTGCGATGGTCTTCACAGGGGCTAATTATCGTCAGTATTTTTAGTAATGCAACCTTTTTTCCAAAACCTTTTAGTTAGGAGACTAGTTAGGAGTTTATTTTTAAGGTCTTCAAAGACCAAATGGTCTTTTTGTATTTTATAGAAGTTTTAAAAACAGTTTATTTCCAAAGATACCTCCAACAACAATCTTCATAACTCTACTGAATGTACTGAAAAAACCTTTAGACTTTGCCTCCACTAATTTTTATTTTGAGCAGCAGGTGGGGCTGTATTCACATGTGTCTTTAACCTGTACGACTTCCTTTGGTATTTCTTTAACAACATATAAACAACACCTGGATTTGAAATTATTTACTTATATCTTTTATTCCAGTAAGTCTGATCTTTCTTGATTTCATTTGTAATGAGAAATCTGAGATGGGCTAACAAAAACAGTGTTAAAACTACTGCTGATAGTCACTGTCTTCTAGTTTGGACAGGGAGCTACACAAATAAAGGCCATTGCTTTGAGAGCAAAGGTAATATCTTTCCAGAATATAGGGCTGTACTTTGTGGTAGTACCTGCTGAAGAAAGCACTATCTCAGATGTGTCTCCACAGCATTTCATTACAGCTGGTATGTATAAGAGTGAACAAATCGCTAGTTATAGTTCAGAAAAAAGACATTTTCCCTTGTTCTCAGGGTATGCACCCGGACTCTCTTTACATGTAAAGGGCAAATGAGCAAAATTAATTGTTTTGAAATAACTTGAAGAGAGCTCCTTTTAGAGCTTGTGTATCTCATTGTCATTTTAATTTTTAATGATTTCAGACAAAAAAACCCCCCAGAAGTAGAGCAATTACATTGTGTTTGTGCTCTTAAGTTCTGAATGCATTTGGCAGCATTTGGTTGTTTATTTGGCAGTATTAAGCAATATTTCCTGCATATTTGTGAGCTTTTTGACTCTTTTGTAATCATGTACCTCCCTTCCTAAGCTTTCCTTTAAATGTCAATCCATTTCTATGTCAACGTAGTTATCTTCAGTTTGACTTTCTACACGGGGATCTCTGTGTAGCTATCCTCTGAGAGTACTTGGGAAATGATACATGGAATAGTCTAAGATTGCTTTGATATAGCAAAAACTTGAAAACATTCACTTTGATAACTTCACGTAAATAAATGAGGCTTTTACTAAATTCAGTATGCGTGCGGATTCATGTTTTTATTTAGCTTTGGAGCATTGTATACTTTGGTGCATAAGTTGCTTCAAAACTCGTTTGAGAGATGGTAAATAGCTTGAAAGTGAATACGTAGGAGAGACGGGGTGGAGTATTCTGCATGATCCAGTGAAACTTATGCTGCTTACCTAGTTAAATATGCTAACTAGTACTACTTAGAGTAAATCTGCCTGATAGGTTAACTCCTCCTGAAATTCTTGTAAGTGCATAATCATTCTTGAACACTTTACAACTTTCCTGTGACTCTTTTATTTAGTATTCTTAAGTGTGGTCCTGAAGACTGGAATTCATTATACAGAGCCTATTACACAAAATAAATAAACTTCACTCAATTTCCGAGTTCATATGAATGGCCTCTATTTACAGAAGAAAGATCTTTGAGATTCACATAGGTCCATGAGTCTATTAGTTTTCAAAGATGTTTGTAATTACTGTCTTGATCTGAAGTTTATGGCCTTTTTTATACTTAGCAATGACAAAAATGGTTTCATGTTTTAGGAAAAGTCCTTCCTGGAGTACTTTCAATTACACTCCCCTGACAGTGTTCTTGCTCTTAGAAAATTTTCTTTAATGGTCAGGATATTTTTTTTCCAGAAATAACAAAAGAGTATGCATGTCTTATTTTATTCCATTGTGTATAGAAGTTGAATTAGTTTTGCTCATCCTCTTTAATTTCATTTATTTCCTTCGCAGAGATTTCAGTTGTTTGAGAGAGTTCAGGCATCTCTCCTTGATGCTTTGAGTCAGTAAAAGCGGTTCATTTTCAGCTGCTATGCTCTTGGTTCACATTCCATATGCTGTAGAAAGCTGGATCATATTGTCCCCTAAGAATCTTACTGAATTTTCAATTTTTTATGAATGTAAAACCTTGCAAAAGCCTTTAAAGTCAGTCTTTAACTAGAATTCTAAGTCTTTGACTTAGCCTTAGAGTTCTTTTCTCTTCTGATATGGTAGTTTTAAAGTTGACATAATTACAGATGGTATTTTAGCATATATATATATATATATGTTTGTTGTCTCTCAGAATTCTTCTCAATGATGAGCTGAAGCTTCAAGAGCAATGTATTTTTAGACTATAAGTCTTCAAGATAATTCACTATACTACAGAGTATATGAAGTATTGTAATGTTGTCCTTACTCTATGTCCTTACTTCCTATATAGAAAGACAGGAGTCTTTTTAGAGTGCTTTTGTCACTTTTTCTGAAATTTGAAAGAGGAAACTTCTGCTTACACTAAAGGAAAACAGAGAATGGGTATAACAAAATCAAAGCTGTGTATGTGCAAAATTAAAGCCTATCATTTTAATATAAATATATTTAATTTTGATTTATTTGTTGGATATACAACTGAAAAATTTAAAGCATGGGAAAAAAAGTTTTGTTAACACTTTAAGAATGTGCTTCAGTAAAACCTTTGAGTGCTAATGTGCTTGTTCTTCTTCTGCTATGGTTCTGCTTCATTATGTCAAATTGGCCTGACTATTGCTGGAAAAATGGAATAGTTTTAAATTTAAAAAGTAATCACAATTTTGCATGCCCATACTTATATTAACTCTCATTGAATTATACCTGAGCTCCTTTGTGACCTGCAAAGTCAATATCAGACCCTAAATTAAATTTTACTTTTCATTTCTGAAGAAATGTCATATATTAAATGTTTATTGATCATCTATTTATTTAAAAAAATATACATACACATTGTAAATAGAAATATTAACAACAGATGCTTTTTTTTTTTTCTTCAGGTACTTGATGGTCTTGAAGGTATCGAGAATTATCGTAAAATCTCTAACTCAGAAGGCTTACGTTTTCCTACCTTGACAACGAAGTACGAGGAATTACAGGAAGCAATTAAAGGTTGCACAGTGACTACCATGCAAAAGGGACAAACTTTAGTTAATAAAGCAGATTCTCACAGGTATTCCCTCCATTTTTGCATATGTGCTTCATTTCTCCATAATTAGTTGTTGCTTTATAACTTGACTGCTTAGACTCAGATTGCATTTAGAGCCAGTGTAGTTTACTAAGTAGGTGTGCATTTAAAGACTTAATGCTTCTGCCATAGTTCTCTGGTGGTATTTATACAAACCAATCTCTTTAACAAAAATCTTTAGGAATACTACATGCTACTTGTAAGAGTGGTGTCAAACAATGGAGTTGGTATGTTGGGTGGTATTCAGAAACAGTGGTTTAGTTAACATTTTGGAAAAGTAAATGTATGTAACTGAAAAGTAAGATATAAATAGCTATGAGCACTCCCTGCAGCCCACTGTACTCCTTTTAAACCTTTTTGAAGATCAGAATTCCAGCAATTAGAATGTGATAAAAATATGAGTGATAAGCCCTGTGCAGAAAATATGGAAGTTTCTTCAGGTTTTAGTAGTTTTAATCCATGAATAGGTAACTTTTTTTTCTTCTGAAGCTTTTTTAAATTGCAGTGATCATGCACTCCACATGTGTGATTTTTACACTGATGTAAAGCACGACCTACTTTAGAATCAGTTCTAGTGGCTTAATATCTCCTACTTTTCAGGTCTTAGTAGGAGGCTGGTGCAATAAGAATGAAGACCATTTATTTATGCTAGTATGTTCTACTTCAAAGGCAGAGCAAATTACTCTGGCTGATGGTTGTCTACTGGTCAGCTTTTATGTCCTTAATTATTCCTAATATGTTAACACAAAACTGAAAGTGTTTATAAGACTTTAATCTTGTGACCTTGCAAAAAAAAAAAATAATCTAAAGTTCCTTCACCTGTCACCCCAGATGTAATTGTCTTGAAGCTAACAATGGGACAAAATAGAAAATTCAAATAAAAAGTTGAGAACACTTACAGCTGGTTTTACAGCTGTTGTTACTGCTTCCTAATATTTTAATTAGATATAAAGGAAGTTGACTTTCCACAGTGGAACTTTGACTGATTCCTAAACCAGCCATAATTCCAGAAAACATGCTGCTGTCCTCTAGGACTTCATGTTCTGCACATGTGACCTCAACAGAAGCAGGTGTTGTGTTTCAAAATATGCCTGTACAGCACTGATTAATGTTAGGAACACTAAAGACCTTAGTAGAGAATGGATCCCTAAAATGACAAGTCATTAATTTTTTTTTTCTTTATTAAGAGTTTTTTAAAAATGTTTCAACAGACCAACTCATCAGTGGGATGGTAAGATACCTTTGGTACACATTAAAAACAGTGAGATGAATTTTTTGAAATAACCATATTGGTCATTGTAAAATTCAACATAAACAGGTAATGCTGCAGGCACATCTCCTGTGTGCCAAAGTGTTGCTCAAGATATTCTATAAATAAATAAAGAAGGTGAGATTTCTGCTTAGAAGACATTATAATTTTAAAAAAGGCAAAGCTTTACAGCTGAGGTAGCAGTGATTTAGAGAGGGAAAGTGAAACTTAATAGGCAACCTGACTAGAAATGTGTTTTGCTGTTTCTAAAGAACAGTGAAAAATTCCAGGCTTATAAATCATAAAAATAAAGAAGTCCTTTTATAAGAAAGCAGACACAGAATATTATGGCTTTTCAGTTTTTTCCCTGTTGCCTTCAGGCCTCATTGCCTGAATGTAATGAATTTGCCACATATTTCAATGAGTAGTACTACTACTTCTGTGCAAGTGGAACGCTTAATATTCCTAGGCATGGGCTTGAGGATTACAATCATGGAATAATTTAAACTGACAAGTAACTCTAGAGGTAATTTAATGCAATCCCTTGCCCCAAACCTGTCCAATTAGGTTGCTCAGGACCAAATTTTTGATATCTCCAAGGATGGAAATTGCACAGCCTCTCTGGCCAACCTGTTCCATTTCTTAAGCACTTTTCTTGTGAAACATTTTTTTCTTATACCTAGCCAAAGTTCCTGTTGCTGCAACTTGTGAACATTTCCTCTTGTCCATTTGCTGTACACCTCTGAAAAGACTATGATCCTGTCTTTTCTCCAGCCCCACTTCCTCATGGATAATGAACTTCACCACTTCTCTACTCTGAGCGGAGTTCTGTCAGCACCCCCTCCAACCATTTTGGTGGCCTCTGCTCAATTCACTTCAACCTGTCTGTCTTTCTTGTGCTGTGGGGACTCAAACTGGACAAACTGACCTCCAGATGCAGTTTCACAAGCCCTTAACAGAAGGGAGTAAACTGCTGGCTAGACTCTTCCAGAAGAACACAGCAAAAGGCTAATCTTCATTGGCACAAGTATGATCCTGACTCACGCTCATCTCATTATACACCCAGATAAGTCTAGGGAGGTTTTGCCCAACTCGTGGTTTTAGGAGATACCCAAAATGCTCCCAGCCAACTCATAAGTGTAGTAATGGTGACACAGTGAGTTCTATCAGCAAATGTGGTAAGATGTTATATTCCAGAACATTCTTCCAGAAATGTTCATGTATTGAAAGAGGCCTCTCTTCATCATGTAAAACCCGCTGTGCTATTCTTAAATACTGGCCAGTGTTTAACCCATTGATTAAGTCTCATGAGATTTGTATGAACGGAGATAAGATTTGTATATCAAAGGAGGACAGAAAACAGAACATCTTTCAAGATTAAATCCTGTTTACTGGTTTGTTCCCCTTACTGCACAAGTGATTACTAGTCTTAGCTGCCCTCACAGACTTCCCATTTCCTTTATCAAACCAGACTAGAAATCCTGAAGGACATGGGCAGTCATCATTTGAAAGCAGTGAAGGATGTGGATCCAGAAATGTTTAGGCATCTTTTCAAAAAGCTTTTCTTTGTGATAAGAAAGACAAGTATAATGTGACAATGAGATACATAGTTGTTAACTGCTTGCGATCTGGCAGGATTCTTGAAGTAACTGGCAGCAAGTGTGGGATTTGTGTGGAATTTGAAAATAGCAGCCAGCTCCCTGAAGGAGTAGTTGGAGCACAGTAATTTTAGATTCTTTCATCACTTGTGATAGAGAAGGTATAGCATGCTCTGCATGACTTTACTAGTTTTAATAAGGAAGCCAGATTCTCCAGCTGTTCAAACAATATTAATAAAGAGAAGGAATCATCTGACTTCATTCATATTGGGTAACACTTTGTCAGTTTTAATAGGTAATGCCCTGATTTTCACTGTATCTTTTGAATGAAGGTACTGGAAAATGCATTTCTAAGACAATATCAAAATAGCTACCATGTGTAGTACTACTTGTTTAAAAGCATTGAGAGAAGACAGAGTGCTTGAACATTAAGATAACTAAAGTATAGGTAGTTTTCTGTATCTACATTGTTTTGTCATTTTCAATTTTAGAGCAACCAAAAATAAACTGGGTAGTTTGTATACATATGATAAGATAGATCTAGTAGTTTATGATTTAAAAATCTAATACTAATATCCTCACATTGAGGGAGGTTTATATTTAAGGCTAGTGATACTGAATTCAGTGGCATAATTGGAAATCCAACTCACAGTAAAAATGGAAAAATACGATGTTAATTTTGTCCTAATTTTAAATATTCTTGAGACATTTATACTAAAAGGTAGTCCAAATAAATTAAAATGCTGAAAATATTCATATTGGAAGAAAAGTGACAGAGGGCAGTTCTTGTAATTCTAGAATGTTTCATAATTAAAATATTGGTAAGGCTGATTTTTGAGCATGCATATTTTTAAACTAAAATCAGCTAGAAAAACGGGAGCAAAAGTTTATCTGAATTAATTATAAAACATTATACAAGCAGCAAGTTTTGCCCATTAAGAAAACCCTTGTTACTTTGACAGCCAAGTAGCTTGCCTATGAGTAGAACTGTTTTTATTTTACTGCTATTATAAATGTATTAAATCATAACAAACCAATTATACTTCCAAAGATCTAAATTATCCTTTTCAAAAACTGAAAATCTTGTTCTCTTACTGCTTTTTTGAAAGGACTGGTGCTAGTAGAAGTTTTTAAACATACCTTTTTTTAAGGAGTGCTAAAATAGAGGAATGACATTTGTACAATTTAAGATTAAAGCAGCAACTAAGAGATTGCTAATTTTTGAAAGAGTAATTTACAAAATTTGAAACCACCTACTCCCAAAAAAGGACTTAAAATTTGGGTTCTCTTTGTGTCCAATTCTTTGATCAAATTCAAACAGAATGTTATATTAATACTACCCTTCATTTAGTATACTAAAGTTTTTTTTGAGATTGCAGAATTTAACTCTGAGCCTTATCTGAAGGGAGGAGAAAATTTTCTTTAATATTAGAGGACAAAGTAGGAAACCTTGAATAAGCACCTGTATTAACATGGGTTTCTGATGGAACTAAAGGAATGAAAAAAACTTATTTTGAACATTTGTTTAACAAGAATTCTTATAATAAAATTTCAATAGTGAATCAGTTGACATGTGGATTTTTTTTTTATATCAAAACTTCATTTCTTAATTGTATGTGGTAACCTCTTTAAAATCTAAAGAGGACTGCCTCAAGAATTCAGATTGTGAATTGCTTCCCTGATAATATACATTTTAAGTTATAAGGCAAGACATGGTCTTGTAAATTGTTTTGTTTTCTCCTGTTGAAAGAAAATCTTTAAGGAAAGGTTGATTTAGAATGTATATGACAATCTTTTTTCAGGTACTGTAAAAACACTTAAATCTTTGAGAGTCCAAAAAAAGCATTCTTTTTAAAGTAGAACTGATAGGTCATATATTTTCTCTCTTTTTAAGCTCTTCCATTTGTGGTTTTAGTTTTTAGATAGTATAGCTAGAAGGGAAGGGAAGGGAAATTAGCTGTTTCTCAGTGAATTGTGATATTTGTCCGGTGAGAATTAATATATCTATCTTGAGAATCTACCTTAGGGACTGGTAACAAATTATTTGTTTGGAAATGTCATTCCTGTGTTCTACTAATTATCAATTTTGTTTGGATTTGTTTTAATATTTATCTTGGTTAGTTTTCTTTTAGGGGTCACAGTTTAAAATTCATAAATTAGTCATCATAAAAATCAACAGAAAAGGTGCTGGGTTTTTTAAAATTATAATCATCCTGTGTGTTGAGCAAAAAATGAGACATAAACAACAGTTCTACTTTTCCATTTCAGCTCTTGGGTAACAGGAATTCAGAAAATGATGGAATATGTTCAAAAAAAAGTGGATCAATTAATCAGGCAGTGTCCAGATTATGAAGAACTTACTTTGAAGAAACAACGATGGACTGCCTCACTTGAAGATCATCTAAATAAGGTACAGCATAATATCATAAAATGTTTTGGGTTGGAAGGGATCTTAAATATCCACTAGTTCCAAGCTCCATGGGCAGGGACACCTTCCCCTAGATGAGATTGCTCAAAGCCCCATCAAACCTGGCCTTGACCACTTTTAGGATGAGGTATCCACAACTTCTCTGGATAACCTGTGCTAGTGCCTCACCACCATCACAGTGAAGAATTTCGTCCTTGCATCTAATCTAGACATACCCTCTTCCAGTCTGAAGCCATTCCCCCTTGTCCTAGCACTCCAAGTCCTTCTCCAGCTTTCCCGTAGGAAAGGGTAGTACCCTTTAGGTAGTGAAAGGGTGTCCCCTAAGGTCTCCCCGCAACCTTCTCTTCTTTGGGCTGAACAACTCTCTCAGCCTGTTGTCATAGGAGAGGTGCTCCAGCCCTCTGATCATCTTCATGAGGATTATCATCATCATCATCACTTGTCATCTACTTAATGCGTTCATGAACAGTGAATTGCATTTCCATAATTTAGGTATATGAAAATTAAAGTTGACTCCAATAATTACAAGTAAAATATTGGTTTGTTAGAGAGTGCACAGTTGTAGTTAGAATGCTGTTATCAACACAAATGAACCTAAAGCTGTTCTGAGAAATCCAGCTGTTTCCAAGAGAATGTTTTGCCAGTGATGTTCAATTAAGCGTGGATTTGCTTGGATAATGAACTACTATAATTTGTTCTTCTGGAAAAGAAGTGAGCAATCAGGACTGTGACCTGCATGAGGGTTTCCTATACTGTTTCTGTCTTTTCATTTGGCTGAAGATAAAAATAGAAGTGTGTCAAAATTGAGAGTTAATAACCACGGTGACTGAACCACAGCAAATTTTCAGTAAAGCTGAAGAAGATTCTGTTCACAATAAAAATTCCTTTTATTAATTAAGCTACCCAATGCATGAAGGGCAGCACAACCTTCTTTAAACTGTTAAAATGCCATATAGTATTACAGACTTTTTTAATGACTTGTCAGAGATGGAATAAACACATGGCTCCTAAATAAGTTTCCATGTGTGAATTCAAATTAAAAAATACAATCTTTTAGCAATGTTCATATGAAGGAAATCCAGAGTGTAGACCAGAAAAGTAAATCAAATTTAATGACTGAATAATTAAGTCTGCAGTCTGATATTTTGTATTTGCATGATGTTTACAATGAACTATTCTGAATCAAACATGAAGTCAATTTGCCACAAATTTATTTATGTATAAATGGTGTAGAAGAGTCCTCATGATATTGGAACACGGTGAAAAAATATTGTTAAGTTTAGCTGAAAATAAAATATTTGCTGATAGCTGCTATTGGTCTTCTAGAAATGATGTCACTGGCATCTTAAGCTGAAAGTTCAGTTATGAAGGTAATTTTTACTTAAAATGTAGGCTCCAATCTGAACATAAAGTTTCAGTCTGCAGTTTGTTCTAGTCACTTTGTTCCCAGCCTTGCATTAGAGAACATTTTGGAGACTTGTGTCATAACACATAATTTTTCATTGCAGTGAAGAGTGCTTATATTCCTACCAAGCAACACATTTCTCATCCTAACCTTCTAATGCAAAGTATCCCAAAGAATCTTGTGCTAAATTCAAAGGCTTCTCAGCCTTATGTAATAAAGTTTGAACCTCAATTGGCAACCACTTCTTAAGAAAAGTGTTACATGTGAATGCACTAGTCTAATACCTATATGTGCTATGTCTGATATCAGCTGCCTGTACTCTTCATAATCTTTTTTATTATTATAATGTATATGTAACATCCGAGAGTGACAATTAAATGGAATTCTGTGCATGCATCTGCATAAAAATAGGTGGCTTGGCTTGGCAGAGAAGCTTTGTATGTACTTCCTGAGAAAAAACCCTGGAACAGAATGGAGATATTTCTTCCAGGACTATAACATCTAGATCATAATCCGGGTGTGCCTTAGTGAAATCACAGGCCTGAAATACTTAGGGTAAAAGCAAGCACTCTCAACAAAATGAGAGGAAACAGGAGGGTTTTTTGACCACACCTGTTAGAATTTTCTTGGGAAAAATAGGAGATTTTTCTTCCTTTATATTTTAATTCCTGACATTCTCTGACTATAGATGATATTAAGGCACAAGTTGCACCTTTTCTTTAATTCTTCTCCGTATCCTGCCATTTGGGGTTGAGGTGTGTGGTGGGAAGGGGGGTAGTGGTGTGTGAGTGAGCAGCTGCTTTGTACTTAGTTGCTGACTGGGTCTACTTATATAAATTAACTATGTAAATAATACTTTCAAATGAAGGTGTCGCACTCGGTTAAAAAAATCACCCTGATGCTTGCAGTTGGTACGGAGATTGGCTCGTATTTGTGTGAGGCTGAAAGAGTTTTGAACAAACACCTCGAACTGGCTAAACAAACAAAGGTAAAAAACCCTTCAATGATTTTACATAGTTTTAGAAACAAATGCATGTAATTCTAAATAAGGTGAGAGATTGAGAGTTTCTTGGAAAGAAAATAGGTCTATAGTTTATTTTGAAAAGTGTAATTAATGAATAAAACCATAGATAACATTAAAAGTCAGTCCTTATATCATTTGTTTTCCCCATTGTCTCTATCTCATGGTATTATTTGTTGCTGCCTCGAGACTCTAGTACCTACCCTTGATAGAAAGGGATGAATTGGCAAAAAAACAGGAAAAAGTAAATCCCGTAAGGGGAAACTGTGAAGGGGGCTGTAAAGTTGCTGTCAGATATCAGTTGGTCATGTTAGGAGTGCAGCTATGGTATGAAAGCACTGCAGCACTCAGCTCTGTAGTGAGGCTATTTTTAAGTCCCATCCAGGGCCTTTCCAACTCCCATAGCAGTACTGCAATATCTGAAAGTGTTTTAAAACCAGCTGAATCATCCCCCCCATTGACATAGGTGCATATTTCATGCCTAAGCTGAACAACATGGCAGTATGCATTTTAGGACTATGTATTTTGAATTCTTAAAACTCCATTACTCCCACAGAGTTCTCTTTTGTTTCAGGCAACTGTTTATGGGACCCAAGGAGTGGGTCCAGAGCACCTGTGGAAATAAAATTCACTTTAAAGAAATTCTGGAGAGCATATAGTAACAATAGAAAAATCTCAGCAGATGAGAAAGAACCTCTTTTTGTTCCTCAAGACCGTATAATAGTTGTTAGTGTCTTTTCTGCCAAATTTTTGCATGCTGGGGTGTTACCTTTGTTTGTTGCAGTGTATAATCTCCCCTGTCAATAGTAACTTCTTCTACGTATTATTTCTGTGGATTGTGATATGCTAGCTTTCAAAATAGCTATTTTAATAATATCATTTGTAGGAAAGAAATGGATATTTTCAACATATAATGTCCATTATGAGCTCTTCAAATAAGTAATTCAATTATATAAGCAATCCTAGTGGAAATTAACAATATAATACCAATATTCACAAGTCCTTTTCAGTCATTTTACAGATTTTTCTATGTTTCTACCCTTCAAAGGAAAGTTGGTATGAACTGGAAGCAGCTGAGGGAATCATCAAAGATATGGAAGAGTTGGAACCTGAGCAGGTGGCAACTTTTTCTAGCAGAACTGAACTTCTGAGTAAAGAGCTGAAAAAAATTGAAAAAAATATTAGTTCAATACTAGAAATTCTAGAAACTTATGTGGCCTTTTTAAAGTCCGCTGTAGAGGTATGGATTACTTATTAATTCTCAGACTAGACTGTGAAAATCTCATGAGTGAAAAATGTGCTTACATTGTAATCAATTTTAATTTTTCTCCTCTGAACATTTCCACTCTCATTATATACATAATGAAAATACTTCCATATATGTACTCTGAATATTAAATGTACTGATTTTTCTTCATATAACTTTTAAAAATGTGTCACATAGTATGTTGATATAGATACTTATTGCTGTCTTGCACTACTTCCACTGAAGTGCTAATTCATCTGAATGGATTTAAAAATTAAATAAAAAACAACTCTAGCTGAAATCACAATCAATTCAATACCAACATAATTTTGGTAGCTGTGCTAATGATGCCCAGGACAACTAATTTTCATTTTGATCTGGATTCCATTTTAAGGTTCTGCAACAGTGTTTTATATTTAGAAAGAAATTTAAGATGGAATGGAATCAGATAAAATTAGCCATAGGATTTACTTATTTATTGGGTGATAAAATACCAAAAAATTGTATTTCATCTGCTTCTGATTATTGCTAACTTCAGTTACTTTGTATTAAAATCAGTGCCTTGATATACTGGTATATAAAATCCATGTAATGTGACAGAAACTGAGCAAATTGCTGCTGTCTGCTTGCCATCTACATGTTCACAAGTTATTTAAAACTATTTTATTATTTGATGTTCATAGAGATTTTAGGGACAATGATAGATCTTAAAATCAGGAAAAGATTCAGAGGCTGCTACTCAAATTTATCATGTCTCTATTAATGTTCTCATTATGGCACCTCAAGTTTTGATCTGATTTTTGATGTTTATGTCTTCCTATAGGTGAATGATAGTATCAAAAACCTGAAGGAATTCTATAAATCAAAACAACTGCAGACAAATAGAGAGGCTGAAAATAAAATTGCCATGGAGTCAGCTAATACTCAGTGGCAAAAGACTATAAAGAAGATTTTTTCCACGCAAAATATGGGTTACTATTTTCTTAATTTAGTAAATGTGGTGAGTTTAATCTGCTAAACCATATTGAATATTTTATATTTCCCTGTGATAAGGTCTAATCCTAGTTCTGTGACTGATGGATTGTGATTTCTCCAATACCTAATTTTAAAGGGACTGATGCTGCTAAATACTTTAAAAATATGAAAGTATTATTTGAAGTAATACAGAAAGTTTTGTGATTAACAATGACAGAACCCTTAATGATCCAGTCCATGCATAAAAATGTAATATGTGCAGATATCTGTTTTGTTCATGTTGGAAAGCAACATATATGCAAGCACAGTATAATGTTTACTTCTACTGAGAGGCAAGCAGTCTTCACTGACTGAGGGTATGAATTCTTCTAAAGAAATGGATGTTAGAGCTACTTACAGATAATCTTTCCTGTGTCTTTTCATTCTTGGGTTCAGCTACACTGCCTAGGCATCCCTATCTAGTTTTCCAACAACCTTTCATGAGTTGATCATTTGAGATGTGCAATCATTCACTGCGCCACACCTCCTAAACTAACCCCAATTAATGCAGACAGCCTGGATAACCAGCTGTTCTTTCTGGTTTTATAGAACAAACTAGGAAGCAGTTACATAAGGTCGAGAAGGGGAAGGTGTTGTTGGTAACCTGCAGCAGCTTGCAAGATGACCTGGGAAAGCCTAGTGAAGGAGGGAAAGTGCTCAGGCTGTTAGTGTCACAGTGTGACACAGCTGAATGGAACCAAGCACAGTTAAAATAGTCAGAGTAATGGCAAACCAGATATGTGTGGATATGAGGCTGCACTTCTATCACTAAAAGTCTTAACGTATATTCAAGTTTTATCTCCCTAAAGACCTGGAAGTGTTTCAACACCATATTTGCTGCTACCCTGTTTCCGTGATATTCTTAGGTTGTAGCATTGAACTACATGGAAGGTATAGCATGGAATAGTAGACACTTTAGCCCTTCCATGCTTCAATGCTGCTTGGTTTATCAGCGCAAAGGAGTGGTCTTTTCTTCATCTACTTTGTTTTCCAGTTGCTATTTATTCCCCAAAAGGCCACTTTGGGTAGTTCTATCTATTCAAAAATTACTGTATTTTGTATGAGTGTTAAACAGCCATTGGATGGCAATAATTCAGTCATTACTGACCTGTTCTGGGTTTTAAACTCCAACTTTAGAGATGTCCTCAATATACAAATTCTGTTGATCTATGCCTATTTCTAAGAGAAAAGTGTATTTAAACGGAAATCTTAAAAAAGTTACACTAGAATAGTTGGTTTTTTATTAAGCTTTGTTGAGACTTTAATTAATCATGAGGTTTTAATTGTATTTTATAAAAACATATGTGGGAAAAAATGTGTCTGTTTATTTGCCAGGTAATTGAGTGTTTAATATTGAAAGTAGAAAAATCTGTACAAGTAACAGAAGATATCATTTTTAATCTGAATAAAGAAAGGAAAGAGCTGACTGAACTTTGGGCAGTCTGGAATTTTAAAATTACTCAAGTGAAACCCATCAAGCAACAGTGCCAGATATTTAAAGAACAACTAAAAATTGTAAGTAAAATAGCTAGGAAAAAAGCAACTGTGATTGTTATTCATTTGTTTGTGACTCTCTCTTTAACTATTTTAGATATCATTTAAGAAAAAGTGATGATCAGTAAGGTATTTACAATACTTCTCCATACTGTTCTGCCATTCAGTCATCAGGAAGCATGAAATGTTTTTGATCTTTATTTCCCTTACTGGATACAAGTCCTAGTCTCCACTTCAAATTTTAAGTTTTAAACAAGTTTAATCCATGCTTTACCAGCAATATTTTTTTTCTTTTGCCTTTTTTTCTTTCTTTTTTTTTTTAAACCAACATTTTGTTGTGACTAAATAGCTACTAAACTAAACTGTATCCTAGTAGTTACTAAACTCAAGTCCAACCATATTTATACAGAAAGAGAGTTGAAACCTCTTTGGCACAGGGACAGCGTGCAGTGCTCCGTTAAAGCAACACTATCTAGGCTAGCAGCAGAACAAGGTTTGTAGCCACTGTTTTTCTAGTGCAACTTATCACTACACCACCACATCTGTTATCACAGAAAATACAGTGTGTGTGTGGGTCCTCTAGTCTCGGTGCTTGAATTGTTTTCTCAAGCTGTCTAAAGGTTCCTTATCACCCTGTCAGTCAGAGGGTTTGAGGCAGAGAGGCTTCAGTGACAGCATTTGGGTGTCTGATTTGAGAAAGTTCTTATTACAGATTTGGGTTTGAATTTAAATGTGGGGGGTTTTATTCACTATAGTTAGAGATGCTCAACTGTTTGATTATATTTTAGACTACCTGTGGATTAGAGATTCTTCAAGAGGCTCTCCAGCTTGCAGCACCAGTTGACCTTGGAAGTGACCTTTTAATTGTTTTGGAACTACAGAAAAAGATGCACCAAATGAAACCACAGTTTCAGGTGAGAGACCAATCTAGTGGAGTGAATGATGGATCAAAAGCTCTTTTTGGTGCAGTAAAGATCCACATTTATATTGATCCCAGAGACTGTCTGGGGTTAGAGTGTTTTGTGTTTAACGTGACCTTTCAAAGAGGAAGGGTTTGTGTGTGTTTTTAAGGTAGGGGAGAAGATATTTTACCTTCAGTGTCCACAGAATGTGTTGTGAATTGTTAGCTGTGTATTAAAGTGACACACAAGCATTGGGGTGGTGGAAGTGCAAGGAGAGTATCAGCTTTGTGCTTTTGAGTTTAGAGCTGCTGATACTTTATCAGAGTACTGATACTTTAGGCTGAGATACTTCATGCTGAACTTCCTACCTCCTGTGAATACTGTCTGAGTTTTAGCAATTCAGTGCCCTATAATTATGTTTGACTTGCTTTCATCCAAGGCTGTTTCTCAGTGACAGCTGAAATTTGTGTCTAGCAAAAAGTTCAGTGTGTGGAGACTGTTTTAAAGTGTATGGCATTGACTTTTCCCAAAGGCAATTTACAATTGTCAGATGGTTATTTCATCAAATGTAAAGGAAAAATTGCAAGTATATTTGTGCAATTTGAGTAACTTCTGCTATTTTTGCTAGCAACTGAATGCTGAGCTTGAGTACCTGATAAAATTATTAGAATTGCCAAGCCAGAAAGGATTTCCTGTGAAAGAGAATTCTGAAAGAATAAGTGAGCTTATTCATTTCCATCAAACAGTAAAGGATGCAATGATAGAATATGAGGAGATTTTCAGCAAGACAGTCAAATTCCATCACATTAAAAAAGAAGTGAGTATTATATTTTAAAATATACATTCTTCCCATTGCATTTAAACTCTCTTTGGGTTTGGTCCCTGTTTTCTTTTTTTTTTTTTCCTTTTCCCCAAAGAAATAGCATTAATCAGCCTATTGAACAGAATAAAATTTTGGATCTAAAACTGCATGAAGTTTGTAAGATTTAAAATTCAGATCTGAACCCAAATTTAATTACTTAAACTCACCTCAACAAAGTTTAGGTGGGTAAGGAAGAAATTGTAAGCTATTTTAAACACACATTGCTTTATATGTTTATGTATTTCAGCTGGAATGTCTATCAAAATCAGGAGAACTGGATATTCCTGAAATATGTGAGGACCCTGAAAATGTGCACCATGCTAAAGCCTACCTTGTGAATTCTCAGGAGAAACATGCACGTATTAGACAGCTATATAAACTACTTATTACCCAGGGAGTGGATATCTTGTCTGCAGTGCAGCAGTGTGTGAGTATAATTATAATGATTTGTGAAATCAAGGATAAATGTGGAAGATTATTGGAGCTATCTGGCTGAATTTAACATGTACAAAAATGTATTAATTCTCTGAGAAAATTAAAGAGCTTTAAGATCATTTTTTAAAAAAGCAAGGTATAAAATGCAAAATAGTTGATAATTGCAAGATTTCTGCCTTTAGAGTTTGAAGATATATAATATTATAAAATATATACTATATAAAATATATATATTTAATGTTTGAAGACTTTAAATGATGAAACTTATTTTTCAGTAGTTACATTACAAATTGCTTTTGTAAAGAAAAAACAATTTCTTTGAATTCTTGTTTTCTTTTTTCAGTGATCTGTGAACAGATTTACTCTAGAAAACTGAAATAGATTTGAAATAGGGAGGAAATTGATATCATTGGTCAGGGGAAAAAAAAAAAAGCACAACTTTCTGTCCTCTAGTATTTTTTGTGATGTTCCAGGCCCTGATGGTGGTTTCTGGGATGCCACATCTATATATTAGAACCCTAGTACCTTGTAAAAGATGCTTTGCATATTTATTCTCCTATAAAGAAAGATAGCAGAAGAACAAAAAAAGAAATATAATAACCATGTTACCTTATTAGTGGATTCAGGACTGATTTGCATGACAAGATGGATATAATTTTAGCAAAGAGGTATTTAGTCAGAGCAGAGCTTTCATTGTCCTGTATTAGTGTATTTACTTAGGAAGAAAGCAAGACATTCCTTATGACTTGCCTAGCTTATTCACGTTGCTGGTCTGCCCTTCAGACGACATGTATTGATTATGGCAGAAAAGAGCTATTCAGCAGGTTGTAAAGGACTATAGTAGGTCATTTCCTCTTTTCTCAGAGAAGACACCATGTTTAGGTTGTGCCTTTGACCCAAAACTACTCCCCAGACTACTAGTGATTGAAACTGCTATGTACTTGCTCTCCTTACAGTGGAGGTTTAATAGTTTACTCTAGTCCATTGTGACTGACAAAGCATGTTCTGCCTCAAATTATTTTTATCTTAGATTGGTTAAATCAATAAATTTCTTGAGATCAATAAATTTCTTTGTCTATTCCCCGATTAGAATTGCTTGAATGTTTCTGTTAAGAATCTGAAGCAAGAACTTGCTAGATTTGAGTGTGATAGCATTAACTGGAACTCCAAAGCTGATAAGTATGAGGAAGAACTGTCACAGCGCTTCCAACACTGCACCACTCAAGAGGAGATAAATGAGGTAAATGTGATAAATCCCAGCATATTAAATGACTGTTTAAAGGGCTGTTGTGTTCTATAATATATATATCTGTTTACCATTCCCCTAAATGCTTCATATGTATCCAGAAAAACAGCAGCCTTGGATCCATGCAGGAGCAACAGTAATCTGTGTGCCTCTGCAGTTCAGGATTCTATCAAGCTGTTGGGCTGGCAATAAGGTGCTTTCACTGTACCAAGAGGACTGGAAATAGAGCAGCTATATTTTCTCAGCCAGCTCCATCTGAAACATGAGTCTTCAGATTTTTTCTTATGGAGCTAAAGTTTCAAACAAAAGTAGAATTTATATAAATTGCTGATGTAATGGTATTAGAAAAAACTTTCAGTATTTTAATGAAAATTTCAGAGTAATTTAGTATTTAACATTTTTTCATTAGCAAAAGATATGATACTTAAACTGCTAGGGGGAAAGGTTCATTGGCACAAGAGACTAGAATTTAGCATTATGGAACTTAAGTTAGGAATATGAAATTCAGTTAATATGATTACCAACTTAGCATCTTGGTAGGCCAAATACAAATCCATTCACAAATTAGCAAGTTGAATTGGATAGTTGTTTCTGCAAAAAAAATAATTTATGAAAAATATTTCAAAGAATTAATTTTCTCAGAGTAATCCATTAAAATAAGAGGCTGATGGGCTCTAAACTTAATGTTCTGTGGATTGCACTTCCCTGCATCCATGAAGTACTGAAATGGATTCTGAGCTGGAAATATTGCAAACTGATGTTCCCTACAGTGTGAAGCATATGTAGTAAAAATACAGGACATTTAAAGTTGTATTTTATTATTTTTATCTTTTGCTAAGTAAATCCACATCCGAGTAAAGAAAGATTGTATTTTCTAAAAATCACTAATGAACAGATGACTGAGATTTTTGTCCCAATTATTTTTAATGAAAAAATTATTGTTTGGATTTTCTTTTCTTTTACAGTATATTGTTTATAAGACGTATCCATTTTCACAAAAAGATAACTTGAAACTGAAAAAACACATTTATCAAAAAAGATTTTTTTTTAATATCAGTTATACTTCTAGTCTTTTTTCCAATTATAAGCTGTGTTTCACTTTGATGTTTTGTACATCAGTCTCCTGTGGTGTCTCCTTGACTGATGATAGGAGGTAAGAGGAACAGCAGGTGGTAAGAAGAACTCTGGCAGAGGGAACTATGCTGTAGAAGAGAATGAAAGCATGAACTACCTAAACAAGAAGTTCCATTATAATTCATAGTGTCATGGCAGAATCAGAATATTTGACATTTGAAATAAAGTATTCTAGTTAGGTTTTTACTGAAAACCCCTCAAATTTGCTGAAGAAAAGGAAATGTTCACTGAGCAGTCTGTTTGTAAGACTGGCCATATTCAAAGACACACTGTTAAAGTAATCCCTTGTTTCTGTTCTTTGATTCTAGGATTACATAATGAGGGCAAGAGAACATGACTCCTTTCTAGGAAGAACTATTTTTCTATTTTTATTACTAGTTAGACTATCAGAGAGAGCAGGAAGTAGAGAGAAACAAACAACCTTCTGTCTCTCAAATTTAAATGAAAAGTCACATCAGTGATGTATTACTCACCACATGCCCTATATGGCAAAATGTATGTTTTGTCTTATAGTTCCTGGACACATTCTGTAAAATAATTGCATAGCAATTACAATGTTAATTATTGGGGTTTGTTTTATTTTTCAATTTCAGTTGGGAAGCCATGTTGATTGGTTAAGTTAAAACCTGTCATCCCCCAAACCTCATTGAATCTTGAATGTAAACTAAATGAAATATACTAATTTGGCATGTGGATACCTTTTACTTTAGAATGCTTTTGTATTAGAGGATAACATAGAAGATGAAGATATTTCCTAAAAATATATGTCCTTTTTTTTTTCATTAATATCTGTTCGGGGATCAAGAAACCACTAAACTACTTCAAGAATATTAGTTATGAGTAGTCACTTCAGTATTTTAGATTTTTAGATTTTGTTAATCTAATCATCAGAAATTGAGTATTGCTAGTATGTTGCAGACCCATGTGAACAAACTATTTACTATCTACTGTGTCTAAGCAAAAGAATATTTCATGTGCCAGCAGCAAGCAGCAGCTGTTCATGACTATCACATACTAAACATCCAACCAGATAATTTAGTTGTGATTTATCAGTGTACAGAGCAAACTTTAAAGTTAACTGAAAATATTTGGGATTCTGCTGTAAATACTTATGTTAATTTATGTTTAATGTAATTAATTTAAGTGTGTAAATACAGCATGTCAGAGAGGGCTTTGGTGATTAGGACTCAACTGGTGTTTGAAGAAATACTTAGAGGCCTTGGCTAGCTCCCTGTGTTTGTAACATATTAGTGATTTTATAAGAAACAAGGAAACAAATACTGAAATTCATAGCTAAGGATCTATAGCATGAGTTTTGAAACAGTCTTGGAGGACAGAAGAGTAAAATGCATGCCTTTTGTGTGCCTTCTCTAATGTAAAGAGAATTTGGAAAGGCCCCAAAAAAAAGAATTTATGCCCTCTACATCTTTGAAAAGCGTAAGGAAAGCTCATATGACTTTTAGAATCTGTATTTGCCGGTTTGGGCTTCTTACTTCGCTGGCTAGTTTGGGTGGTAGCCTCTGAAGAGCTGCAACTCTGCTGCATTACACTGCAATCATTTGTGATAGAGCTGAGTTTAGCCTCAGGTAACTGTAGCTTAATACTACATTGAATCTGTTCATGGAATTATAAGTGACGCAGTTAATTGCATATGATAACTTTTCCAATGAAATAGCCTTTTCTTTAGGTGATCGCTTAAAAAATAACGTTTAGGCATGTCTGCACAAAACTTGCAACAAAAGAGTAACAGATCCTGAAGTAAGTTCTCAGCTCTCCCCAGTCATCTAATTTCTTTTTCATGTCGTTATTTATATACTTATGGAAAGATATGACTGAAAATATAGATTTTAACCATAAATGGTAATGAACTATCTTTATTCACGAGTCAGTAGGAACTGATATGTAACACACTTCTTACCTTGCAATTTATGTGGATTGTTGCCCCAGGAATAAAGTAATAATTAATGACTTGAACAGCACCTTTTCTTTCTTCCCACTTTGTCTGACTGTTTCTTAGTCTTTGTCACTTTGAAAATCTATTTTCAGCAACCTGCTTTCATGGGGTATTTTGATTATAAATGCTAATAAATGTTTTATATATGAATAGAAAGGGAAAGTTGAGGGGTTAACAACATTGAAGTCCCTCCTAGACTGGCTCACATAGGAATCAAAGCATTTACTGGAACGGTACTGTTAACAAAAACATGTTTAAAACAGCTTTTTAAATTAATTTTTCCATGGACTTTGTAGTCATATGATAAATTGGAGCAATTGTTACTTAAACCCTTCTCTTCAACTATCATACTCCACCTATGACAGGGAAACTATAGTTAGGAACAGCTTCCTGATTAATGACTATGACACAATGGATAAGGCACAAAGTTCCATTAAAGCAGCAAGCTAAAGTCACTGAAGCATATTAGGATGCATAGTTCCTTTATTATTTTTCATTTAATCTTGCCCAAACTGAGATACATTCAGATTTCTAAAAATTGGGAGCCATGTGTTGTCCTTGGTACAATTGCTGGTGATAGCAGGAGTTGTGTTCATGCACTCTGAGGGGATGATGTACAAGTGTGAGCTGAATCTGATTTTTCCACTGAGGTTAAAAGCGAAGAGTGACAGCAGCTGCAGACCTTTGACACATGAGCCATCATGTCTGAAACAAGGAGATCTAATTTCATGTACAGCTATGAGGAGAGCCTCTGGCCTTATAAATTATCACTACCAGCTTATGTGTGTGCATAAACTAGTGAAATAAACTAAAATAAACTCTTGTTCATATTTTCTTTCCCTCAAAATTGAAGCAGCAAATAAAGCTCTTGTGTTCTGAATAAAAAAAATATTGTTCTGCAGAAGCTATTTTATTAATGGAGGGCTTTTAGACAGATTTTATTATTCTACGTACTTAGGCAGGGTAAAGAGCTTAAACTAATTGGAGATCACAGTGCCAGTGATAGAACTCCCTTCCTTTTCATTACACTGAGTGAGCACCATCTGTTTATTCACTGCTGAAATAATGTGCCAACATCCCACTAGATGAAATGAAAATGAAAAATATATCCCTTGATGGATTAACATTAGTATATAATAATAATAATGGTGATTGATTTTTAGCTGTTCCAATAACAGTAGCTGCAAAATAAACATTCATTACTCGCTGGATTCTTTGGCAGGGAGGAGGAGGGGAGCAGGGGGAAGGCCCTAGGACTTTTTAATATTAAAAAAGGCTGAAATACATATTTAGTTATCAAATTGTGGATATGACTTGAACTTGTTAACACTAATTAAGTTACATTCTTTGCATTTGTGTGTCTGCAAGAATAGATCCTAAAGCATTAGAGCTGCTGCATTTCTTTTCTATAAGTGTCTTTAGACAAATGTAATTTTACATAATTTATTCTACATTATCCAAAAAGCAAAATATTATTTACGTAAATGATCTGACACTCTTATAATCAGTATTTCAGTCATTTTTATATTCTTCCATTTCAAATTTTATGGATTAATTATAAATAATTTGAAAATGTGGTCATGGAATTGTAATGCAATTAAAATAGTATCTATTTTAAGCAAGTTTTTCACTTGTCCGGTGCTTGTCTGTTGCTTAAAGAAATTCAAAATTAGTTGTAATATCCCAGAGACTGTTTTGAAATTGTAAATAAAATCAAAAATTGCATAGCTTTTAAAGAAAAAATATAAATAAAACTATGCTTAAAATGTCATAGTCCTTTAAAAGTTATGTTAATCCTATATCACTCTTCTTTTTGATGTGTATTAACTCTTTCTGGTAAATTGGCAATGCATCTGATCCATATGTGTGTAAATGAAATTGTAGCTTTTTAGAGGTTCATTGATGTCATTCCTATCATTCTGGCTTTTGTAATATTTTCTGCATATTAAAGAAAATATAGCTATATTCCATCTAATTAATGAGTTTTAGAGCAAATTTAATATTACCAGATTTAATAGTAGTTATCTCAGCTGATGTAAGTCCATCTGAAAAGGAAGGCATGGGCACCTAATAATTGGACCTACTAGTTCATTACAATTTATATTATTGTAAGAATAATTTTCCCTAGTGTTGGGCTTGCTGCACCAAGTCAGTGCTAATTGGTAATAATGCTATCACATGGTACCAAATCTATCTAACAGGAGTTAGATAAGAATCTGTTAAGCAGGATCTCTCTACATAGTTATTCAAAAGTCAGGTGGTTATATAGTCTACATCTTGATCCTACAAAGAGCTGTATTCCTCTTTGTATGCTGTGAAAAACTGTACTAAGATGTTTGGACTAGCACAGTGCATAAAATTAAGCCCATATGTAACTTCTTTTCAGAAGCAGGACTTCTGAAAAAGGGGTGGGGGTGGGATAACACGCCAACAAAAAAAATCCCCCAACATGAAATAAACTGAATGTTGTGTTGCAGGAGAAAGGTACATAAATACAAATTTACTTGCCCAGGCCCAGCAAAACTATGTTTTTCTTGAAACTAAGTATGGGTATACATTTACATGGCTATCATTTCCACTTAGTGGATTAAAGTGATTGAATGACATCTACTTCTAGCTAAAATCAATGATAAATCTTGGATTTTTTCGTAGATTGTCTAAGCAAGGATCTCATCCTTTGCCCCACTTCTTTTCTTGCCCCAACCATTCTGAGAAAAATACTCTGCATTCAGAATGCAAAAATTTTGATTTAGCAAGATTTTTTCCATTACTGTAAAAAAATTCTGAGGAAATAAGGATGCTTTATGAGATGGAACAGTATTATTAATTTATGTCTTAAATGTTAAGTATTCAAATTTTCCATTAAACAGCTCTTGAAAAAACTTAAATTGATGTGTGCTGATTTCTTCTTTTTTACTAAAAAATAATCTTACTCTGTTTCAGCTCAAAGAATCGTTTAAAGATCTCAAAAAGAAGTTCAACAATTTGAAGTTCAACTATATGAAGAAAACTGAAAAAGCTCGAAATTTGAAAGTACTTAAAATACAGATTCAGCAAGTTGATACATATGCAGAGAAAATACAGGTAATAGAAATTTTAGGTTTAGTAAAGGCTTCACTGGTTGAATTACTGTGGCCTGTGCCAGGCACATCAGAGGAGACACGAAATATGTTGTGAACTTCCCTGTTACTCAGCTTTATATCCTTAACCTGTCTCAGTCGTTGACTGAGACATTTTTCGTTATTCTGTTCCCATTATTCTTCCATTTCCTTCAGTGAAATGATCTTATCTCAATTCCTGATTTCTCTGTGTTCAGTCCTTTTATTCATCTTTATTTTTCTATTTATTTTTTTTATTCTTGCCTCTGTTCCTTCACAATATGTGTGACCTAGTCTTTCCTCTCCTTAAAAAACCAAAATAATTACCTTTTGCATCAAACTACTTTCTTGTCTTTTTCATTTCATCATGTAAAATGAACTTTTTTCTTCAGAATATTTTGTTGTATCCATTGCCTGGTGTTGATCATGCTCATTTGCAACTTAGAACCCTGCTAGCCTTACCCATTCTTTGCATTCACCAGAAACTGTTCCTCCAATGACCTTTTTAATTGCAATTCATGCATGACAATGTTTTATTACTACAGATATTTATTTTTAGCTGAAAAAAGTTGCCTCAGTTATACCTTTAATAAAGATAATTTACATTGATTTTAATCAGCTTTGTGGAGGCCCTCAAGTTTCCTTTGATTTTTGAAACAGAAACTTTTTAAAGCACAGGACAAGAAATAAGTTTGTATGCTTTTCCCATTTTTTTGTTTAATTTTATTCCTAAAAATAGAAACATTTTTTGCTATGTTATTTTACATTGCTACATCTTTTAAACAGGTCCTTAAGAAGAAGATGGATAATTTAGAGAAGCACATCCTTGACTCTTTTGCAAATAAACCTAATGCTAAAGTTAGAGTCCTCTTGGGATCAATCAGTGACTTACAAAAACAACTGAATGACTTTAGCATGGTCGTGGAAGATTACAAGCAAAATCTGGATCTAGTGGAGCAATTGCAACAGATGATGAAAGAGGTACTAGTAAACCTGAGATCCCCACTGTGGCTGTAATAATGATGCAGGACAGGGACAGATAAAACTTCCTATAACTGCCGCAGGCATAATCTGTGGCTTCTGAAAGTAATGAATTGGTTAAAAACCCCTTATTTTCCTTTGTTGTTTCTTTGTAAACTCGTGGTGAAAGGGGGGAAAAAATGCGTAATGTGACTATATTTGGGAGACTGGGGTCTCCACCTCCATATGACTTTCATTCTCATTCAATATATCTATGACCATACTTATGGGCTCATTTTCTCTAAGTGTGCTCTGAGGCAACACAGAAAGTGCAACAAGGCCCTCTCTAATAGCCATCAAACCATTAGAGCCAGATTATCACAGCACCCA